GACGTGTCCAGCAGTATGTACAGAGTAAATTAACTCAACATAGAAACATATACTGCTAAATTACTGTCTATACACATTTTAAGAACAATCAATTAGTCTGCCAGAATGCTGAATATAAGAATGAACAATAGAAAAGAGATATTCATTTTCAGCAATACTGAGTGAAGTAACCCCCCCCCCCCCCTCAAGAACTTATCGAAGAAATCTTTCCTGGCCTCAGTGTAATAGGACATGCGTAAAAATAATGATGTGTGTTTTCTACCTTACCACAAGAGCATAATGGACTAGATATTATGTTACACCTATAAAGATCAACGTTTAGCACACAATTGTGTCGAAGTCTAGTGTGCAGTATATTGTAGTTTCTTTGTCCAAAACTGATATAAGGCGACCGCGGGACTAATGTTACTTTTTGTGTGGTTTTACTTTTAAACAATGGCGACTAAATTTTTTTGATGAGGAGCCAGTTGGCGCCTAAATTTTAGAGGTCACATAGAGGCCTGCCAAACACATATTTTTCAATCTCCATTAAAAGTACAGGCAATGGGAATAAATTTATATGACTCTCAGCATATGGTGTCTAAATAACTGCCAAATATCTCATTGATATCTCAATTCACAAAAAAGTTATGCCCAAAAATGACGCTAAAAATGTCAGGAGTGCAACACCTTTTTGTGACATTTTTAAAATTCAATATTCTTTGAAGATCTGTGAAATGAATATAATAATGGAAATCGGAAGTAAACAAACAAAATCTTAGAGAGATGAGTGGAAGTTACAAAAACGTTATGGATAAATGTATTAGAAAGCATAAGTGACCTGACTGGTAAACTTATGCAATTACGCACTACTAATACTAAGGCTTATTGGAAATACTAAACTCTTCTAATAAAGACAAAGTGTGCTGTAAATATCGAAGATATGATTAAATATTTGACAGGTATTAATGAATGTAGCTATGAGATTGATGAAGATTTTTATTCAGTTGGTTTGGTTTGAACATATTTTATTGCAATAAATATATACAATGGGATTAGGCACAAGTTCTAAAAACTTAATTCGCCCTCTCCCTACATGTTATATCACAAAGGATTGAATCAGACGTGTCCAACAGCATGTACAGAGTAAATTAACTCACAACATAGAAATATATACTGCTAAATTATTATCTATACACATTTTTAGAAAAATCAATTAAATCTGCCTGAATGCTGAATATAAGATTGAACAATAGAGAAGAGATATTCATTTTCAGCAATACTGAGTGAAGTAACACCCCCCCCCCCCCCCGAGTAAAGTATGTGTCAACAATATGAACTTTATTAAATCTCAAAAACTTACCGAAGAAATCTTTCCTGGCCTCAGTGTAATTAGGACATGAGAAAAAATAATGATGTGTGTCTTCTACCTTAATTACCACAGGAGCATAATGGACTAGATACAAGATACAAGATACAAGATTTATTAGTCCAATTTGGGCCCCCGGAGGAGCAAAAAAGATTTACAAGCATGAAACAAAGAAGGAGGAAGATATTATGTTACATCTATAGAGATCAACGTTTAGCACACAATTGTGTCGGAGTCTAGTGTGTAGTGTATTGTAGCGTCTTTTTCCAAAACTGAAGTAAGGCGGGGCTACTGTTATTTTTTGTGTGATTTTACTTTTAAAAGCAGATAAGGAGCTCGAGAGTCTTGTGTCTAGCGATAAAGAATTCCACTCGTTTACTACAGTTGGTACAAATGATGATTTGTATGTTTGCAGTCTACAGACGGGTATTTTATAATTTTGAGAATTTCTTGTTGTATACGCGGAAGCATTACATCGCATTTCAGGTTTAATTTCACGTAGATAATCAAGAACTAAATTATTATGAATTGTATACATGGTATTCAATCTCTGAATCTTGCGTCTATCAATGAGCGGTTCCCAGCCTGCTTCAAAGTACAAAGAGTCTCTAGATGCAATTAAGGTCAAGCCAGTAACAATCAGTGCTGCGTGTAGTTGCAATTTCTCTAATTTCAGTTGCAAGGGAACTAAAATAGAGAGAAAGCTCTGATGAAATACTTAATGGTGAAATAAGTGATTCTGAAATTATTAAAGCAGTAAACAAATTAAAAAATGGTAAAGCATCTGATTTTGATAACATTGTAAATGAACATATTTCATCAACATTGTATACTTTTTTACCTGTGTACAAAATATCTTTTAATATCTTTGACAGTGGTCTGGTTCCACATGAGTGGTTAGTGGGTATTGTTAAACCTATTTACAAAAATAAGGGTGATCCGACTTCCCCAGAAAATTATCATCCTATAACTCTATTGAGTTGTTTAGGTAAACTTTTCACATGTATATTATGCAAGCGATTAGAAATGTATTCAGCTGAAATTGAACTTATTCAAGAAAATCGAGTAGGTTTTAGGAAAGGATATTCTACTTTAGACCATATTCTGACTTTACACTTTTTATCAAACACACTGATGAAGTGTAAGAAAAAACTTTTTTGTGCTTTTATAGACTTCAAACAAGCGTTTGACACTGTTTGGAGAAATGGTCTCTGGAGTAAACTTTTAAATTATGGAATAAAAGGCTTCAAGTATATTACAAATACATGCATGCATCAAGGAATTAAATCAATTATTAAGATGAACGGCACGACAACGGATTTTTTTCTGTTGTAATGTCGGAGTTCGGCAAGGGGAAAACTTATCCCCCTTTTTATTTTCCCTGTACATTAATGACTTAGAAAATTATCTTGTTGATAAAAATATAATTGGTTTACAAAGTCTTACTACTTTAATAGAAAACGAATTATGTATGTATTTGAAACTTTTAATACTTTTATATGCCGATGATACTGTCATTTTAGCAGAAACTCCTGATGATCTACAGAATGATTTGAATGAATTTGAATGCTATTGTACAGAGTTGAATTGCATTTTAATATTGACAAGACCAAATTATTAATTTTTTCAAAAGGCCCCTTATTCAAGAGAACATTTTACTACAATAACAAGAGTCTAGAAAATGTAAAAGAATTTAAATATCTTGGTATCATTTTTTCAAGATCTGGCTCCTTTTTAAAAGCCAAGAAACATCTATGTGACCAAGCCCAAAAAGCAATGTATGGTGTAATCAGAAAAATTAGACAATTCAACCTCCCTTTAGCATGTCAATTTGAATTGTTCGATAAAATGGTTGTACCAGTGTTACTCTATGGTTGTGAAATCTGGGGTTTTGAAAACCTAGACATTATTGAACGTGTTCATTTAAAATTTTTGAAACATATACTTAATTTACTTGAAAAGTAGTACCCCAAATTTTATGATTTATGGTGAAACAGGACGCTTTCCATTACCTGTCCTTGTTTATTCTAGAACAGTTTCATATACTGGTGTAAATTAATTAATACCCCCGGAAACAAAACTTCATGTATATTATATAAATATCTAATCGCTAACTCACAATCTGAAATTGGTAAGAATCCATGGATTGACTGTGTGCATCGTATTTTTGATTCATGCGGACTATCTAATATTTGAAATGAACAGTTTTGTTATAGTCTTAATCAAGATTGGGTTACTACTGCTGTAAAGCAACGATTACAGGATCAATTTATATAAAAATTGAATGCTGACATTAATAGTTCATCCAAAGGTGTTGTGTATAAACATTTTAAAACAAACTTTGAAAGTGAAAAGTATTTAAGCATTTTGTCATTAAAATTTAGAAAAATACTTGTAAAATTTCGTACTTCTAATCACCGTCTACCAGTTGAACTGGGAAGATGGGCAGGTATACCATTAAATGAAAGATTATGTGCAGTTTGTAAAACTAGACATGTTGCCGATGAATTCCATTTTATACTTGAATGCACTTCATTGTCTAACATTAGAAAAAAAGTATATTAATGAATACTACTTTACTAGACCAAATATACTAAGTCTTAAATTTTCTCTATTGATGACAAAACAAGACGTTAAAACTCTGGAAAAAAACTCTGTACTTTTATATTAAAAATATATGATCTAGTCTGTCCTCCATGATTTTTTCCTCATTTATACTATTAGTATATGTATTATATGTATTCATCTTTTTATTTCTTTTGCCTTCTTTCACTTTCATTTTCTGAATAAGTATATCATATACTTGTACCTCTGACCTGAATTTATATGTTGTAAATATTTTTCATTGTCCTCATGTACCACATATATATTAGATGGTTTTGAGTGAATAAATAAATGAAATGGAATGGAATTTGAAAGCAGAGAGCAAATATCTCTAAAAGTTTGCAAATTTTAATTTTGTAGAAAAAGAAGACCCATTTTAGTCTCATGGCAATAATTAAACACAAGAATTTTGGAGAGACACTTACACATCAATATTATGTACATGCATGTAGTTTGAAATACAATTGGAGAAAATATCCATTTAAAATAAAATTCCTTTTTGTTTCTATGAATACAGTTAAAATTTGCCCAGCTGATTACATTGTACAAACCGAAACCAGCTTGACCAGATGAAAAGGATAAGATTTTGATGCTTTAAAAAATTGGTTGGGCGGCTACTGAGAAAAAATCTATTTAAAATTTTCATTTTTCATACTTTTATACTTTTCATGTTGCAATGGAAATGATCGCCATTTGGAAGAAGGGCACTTGTAACAATGTGTCCTCCCTCGTCCTCATACATATTAATAAATTATAGAGCCATGATATTTTGGCGTTGGGGGAAATCGCACTCGTTAACTAAACTATTATACGGAGTAGGATTCCCCCCCCCCGGAAATTGAATCTGGAGTGGGATTTCTTGGGGGGAATCCTACTCTAGAGCCAGTTTTCGGTGGGGGGGGGGGGTAGAGGGGAAAGCCTACGTACTCTACAAGACCGGTAAATCCGACCCGGTTCTCAAGTTTCACTCGTTTTACAAACCTCTAAGCTGATCACGGCCCACTTGGTTCTAGAAATACCCTAATTTTGTACCGGAAGTGTAAAAGATAACCTTTCGCGTTCGCTTGAATTCGGGAAAATCCCTGTGTTTCTGATGAAGAATAAATCAGGGACCGAGGACTAAATTGTAGCTTTACAGAATATAACTGTTCATTATTTGGAGGTATCTGCTGCGAGGTAAGGACGGACTAACATAATAACTACAAATGTATCTGTTCTCGCCGGGGTTCATTCTGAAATATTCTTTGTTTATCCAGGCCTAAGGTATAATTATAATGCAGAAATTCCGGAATGTTTTTTTAATAAGACACACAAAAGTTATTCACTCAGTTATCGATTTTTATATTGTGTATGTCAGTTTAATGGCATGGTTGTTAATGATATAATTAATCAATGTGAGAATTATTCAATTAAAAGGCATTGCACAATGCATTTTCCTCAGACTGTAAATCCTTAATTTGACTAACTCTAACACTGTCTGTTTTAAAATAGAACTTTCAGTTTGTTTACTGATGTTAAATATTCGTAAACATGAAGTACATGGTAATATTTATTGTCTGGGGGTCATGGGTCAACCCACACAGCTGTGTGATTGTCATGTGACCTTACATAACCATTCAGAAAATTTACTGTTACCAAAATTGCAAAATATTTTAACATTAATATGAGAGACTGTGATTATTGAACTCAATAACTGTTACATCATAGTATACTGAGAGGTTATTTACTAGAATGATCTAAGATCCTGTATGTTTAATACATAAATATCTTCTATAATTGAAGGTTCCAGAATGAGACCTCCGTAATTTTTATTAAATGGAAAAGTCATTGGAGTCTTACTTAACGGGAGTTAACACACAGAGTAAGACAGATACAGACAGAATGACAGAGAGAGACAGGGGAGAGAAGTTAGCAATGGATCAGATGTTATGGGATGACGATGACGAGGATGATGAAGAGGATGATGAGAATGAAGATGAAGGAGATGAAGACGTCGATGACAATGATGAGGAAGGTAAGTGAAGGAGATGCAGACAATGATGACAATGATGATGAAGGTTAATTTAGAGATTGATACATTTCATCATAGTATTGAGGGTTGGATACCATTAAGGATGAAATGTTACTTTACCATAATCATGATAATGTATTTTTTTAAAATAATTCAGTACTATAATATGATACCTTGATCTGTCAGTATATTTGATAAAACAATACTGTGGGTTCAGTATGTACTATATAATGACTTTATAACTTCTGTTTTTATTTAAACATGTTTAAACAGTAAATAAGCCAAAAAAAGCACAGATAAAATGTCGTCTAAAGAATTTATGTACAATTTGACTAGATTTACAATCACGAGTTTGACATACATATCTAAACTGCTTCACAGTGTTTCCAAGCTCAATATTGTTAAGAGTGATGCGAAAAGACAAAGCTACAAAGAATACAGGAAAAAATTGGAGAGAGATCGGTTTCACTTTCTAGCATTGTAGTATTTGATTAAAATTTGTATTAGGTTACTTAAAAAAAAAAGAACATTACTAATTTGATGTTTTATTATATACCCAACGGTGTCTCACTCAATTTTATTGTTGAATTCATGTAATCACGTGAAGGTGTGATCTGACTCTCCGGATCACCACACTGTGGTTTTCTGAATCCATATCACCCATCTCTGAAACTGATGACGTAGTACACAGTAAACATGATGTTTTTTTCTTGCGTGTCAAAAGTTCCTTGAAAAAAATGTTTTATTTAATGGATAAAAGTTGTATAATTGCTTCAAATAGTTTTCCATTATTATATTTTCCTAATTATAGAGGGTTATATGATAAATTTATCATTATAACAGTAACTTGATTTGAAGAGCCATATCACGTCTCGTTGACAGGCGCGGATCATCAGATCAAACTTGAGGCTCATTTGATCTGATGATCCGCACCTGTCAACTCGACATGATATGACACTTCGGATCTAGTTACTGTTATAATAATATATATTTATATATTACTGGAATTTATTTACCTTGTAAACATTAATGATTACCATGTTTAGATGAGGAAGACATACCAAGCAGTGAACAAAGCGATGATGATGAGGAGGAGGATATAGAAGATGAAGACAAAAGTAAGTCTCTTCTCCAAAGTAGATAGAAGATGAAGACAAAAGTAAGTCTCTTCTCCAAAGTAGACAGAAGATGAAGACAAAAGTAAGTCTCCTCTCCAAATTAGACAGAAGATGAAGACAAAAGCAAGTCTCCTCTCCAAATTAGACAGAAGATGAAGACAAAAGTAAGTCTCCTCTCCAAATTAGACAGAAGATGAAGACAAAAGTAAGTCTCCTCTCCAAAGTAGATAGAAGATGAAGACAAAAGTAAGTCTCCTCTCCAAAGTAGACAGAAGATGAAGACAAAAGTAAGTCTCCTCTCCAAATTAGACAGAAGATGAAGACAAAAGTAAGTCTCTTCTCCAAAGTAGATAGAAGATGAAGACAAAAGTAAGTCTCTTCTCCAAAGTAGACAGAAGATGAAGACAAAAGTAAGTCTCCTCTCCAAATTAGACAGAAGATGAAGACAAAAGCAAGTCTCCTCTTCAAATTAGACAGAAGATGAAGACAAAAGTAAGTCTCATCTCCAAAGTAGATAGAAGATGAAGACAAAAGTAAGTCTCCTCTCCAAAGTAGACAGAAGATGAAGACAAAAGTAAGTCTCCTCTCCAAATTAGACAGAAGATGAAGACAAAGTAAGTCTCCTCTCCAAAGTAGATAGAAGATGAAGACAAAAGTAAGTCTCCTCTCCAAAGTAGACAGAAGATGAAGACAAAAGTAAGTCTCCTCTCCAAATTAGACAGAAGATGAAGACAAAAGCAAGTCTCTTCTCCAAAGTAGAAAGAAGATGAAGACAAAAGTAAGTCTCCTCTCCAAAGTAGACAGAAGATGAAGACAAAAGTAAGTCTCCTCTCCAAATTAGACAGAAGATGAAGACAAAAGCAAGTCTCTTCTCCAAAGTAGATAGAAGATGAAGACAAAAGTAAGTCTCCTCTCCAAAGTAGATAGAAGATGAAGACAAAAGTAAGTCTCCTCTCCAAAGTTGACAGAAGATGAAGACAAAAGTAAGTCTCCTCTCCAAATTAGACAGAAGATGAAGACAAAAGCAAGTCTTTTCTCCAAAGTAGATAGAAAATGAAGACAAAAGTAAGTCTCCTCTCCAAAGTAGATAGAAGATAAAGACAAAAGTAAGTCTCCTCTCCAAAGTAGACAGAAGATGAAGACAAAAGTAAGTCTCCTCTCCAAAGTAGATAGAAAATGAAGACAAAAGTAAGTCTCCTCTCCAAAGTAGATAGAAGATGAAGACAAAAGTAAGTCTCCTCTCCAAAGTAGATAGAAGATGAAGACAAAAGTAAGTCTCCTCTCCAAAGTAGATAGAAGATGAAGACAAAAGTAAGTCTCCTCTCCAAAGTAGATAGAAGATGAAGACAAAAGTAAGTCTCCTCTCCAAAGTAGATAGAAGATGAAGACAAAAGTAAGGTTCCTCTCCAATGTAGACAGAAGATGAAGACAAAAGTAAGTCTCCTCTCCAAATTAGACAGAAGATGAAGACAAAAGCAAGTCTCTTCTCCAAAGTAGATAGAAGATGAAGACAAAAGTAAGTCTCTTCTCCAAAGTTTTCAGTAACAATTGAGCTGATGGCATGTTAAAGACTATACTGTTAACGTCCTTAATTTAGTGGAAATCATATTTTAGCACCTTCTGTGCAGCTTCTTGTCCACTAATTTCTGTACACTCTAACACATGTCTAACACACGATTAATACAAATATACACTAATTTATGTACACTCTAACACATGTCTAACACACGATTAATACAAATATACACTAATTTATGTACACTCTAACACGTCTAACACATGATTAATACAAATATACACAAATTTTTTATTACACATTACACAGTGGATGAGTAAGATTGCACTAATTTTTGAATGCGTTAATTTACGTACATTTACAGTATTTGGAGTGGTTTACACAGGTCTTTGTATCTACAGAGGAATACTTTATTGTGTTTTTCTCCCAGGTTCATGTTCAGCGGAGGCAGATGAAAGGTCAGAACTCAAGGAGGAAATGGAGGAAATAAGCAAAGAGGAGACAAAGGTTGAACTCCCAGAACAAAAACAGACAGATGTAAACAACAGTACGTCAGAACCAGCAACTAAAAAACGGAAACGAAAGCGAGCCACAGGGGAAAAAGGGAAAAGAAAAAAATCCAAGAAAATGAAACCCTCCACATTAAGGAGAAACATCAGGTATGTAACAGAAAAAATATTTAAATTGGAGTGTGGTTCTTGTTTCTAGTCTGGTGACATTTTAATTCCCTTTTTTGTCCCCTCCCTCAACTGCCATGAAGTGCTTGTACCAAGCTGTGTGATATTGGACATGTATTCGATTTTTGTCACTAAATCCAATCCGCACAAATTACCATGTCTATTGTTAGTGTACAAATTATCCAATCTATTGTCATGATCAAAGCTCATGTAATTTATCCAGTCTGAAGTTCAAAAAAGAATTGTTCAAATTATCAAGAAATTCAAATTACTGCGCTTAACAGAATAATGTTAAAATTCACAGTAATACTTCAGTTATTTTGAGGCGTCTTCCTGGTTTTCTTGCAATTTGTGTAACCTTTCATTATCTGTAAATGACAATATTATTGGAAAAAAGGTTTTATTTATCTACCCTGAAGATATCCTCAGCATTAATAAATGTCTTTCTTGTGCTACCATGGTTACAGGGACATCCTTAAAGAGAATGACCTTGACAAGGAGACCTTGGACGCCCAGCAGGAAGAAGCCAAGCGTCGTCAGAGAATTCTGGAGGTACAGAAAGCTCTAGAGGAGCAACGAAAGAAAGAGATGGAAGAAAATGACTCACAACTTAAGTCCCTGTTACAGAGTAAGTACAGAAAACTCTAGAGGAGTAATGAAAGAAAGAGATGGAAGAAAATGACTCACAACTTAAGTCCCTGTTACAGAGTAAGTACAGAAAACTCTAGAGGAGTAACGAAAGAAAGAGATGGAAGAAAGTGATTCCATTGGCTGAGACAATAGAACACAGTGAGCTGTTCCCAGTATTGAGGGAAATTTGTATTCCGATCTATAGCCAGATTAGGTATTTGATAACTGTTTCATTAACTGATGCTACAGGTTCTTATGCAAAAGAATAATAATAAAAGTTATGAACTATTATGTGGGGAATTATAATGCCATAAGAATAAGCTGTTATCCTGATGACATCACATAGCTACAGAAATCAGAATGATTAGCAGTCTATAGATTAATGGTGAGCCAGGCAATAGATTGTCGATCAATAGATAAAAACGCCAAAACAAGTTTAACACACTGTATAATGTAAAATCAAATATTTTTGTGGAGTCAAATTTTCCTGGTTTGGGGAAAAATTACTGGTTCATTGGGATTTGATTTCGTGGATGAAGAACTGTTCAGTAGTTGTGTCTATGAAATTTTACATTTGGTGGTGGACATGAATTCATGGATCTCTTCATACCTCGAAAACAACAAAAATTACCCCCCTTCCCCCCCCCAAAAAAAATTGTGATTTCCCAGTAGTATTAACTAAAGAATGTAAAATAAAACGGCAAACACTGGAGTATACCGGGTGTTTACAACTATAACATTTATATATGTAATACACTGTACCTATGTTTTATTTCAGTGGATGATGAAGATAAGAGTAGTGATGTCATTTATTTGGACAGCAGCGATGAGGGACGATCAAGAAGGAAATCCAAAGGTATCAACATACTGTTTTTATTCTTTTTTGTTCCAAAATTTATTTATATCATAGCGTACAACGTCGGAAGTAAAGTTAAGTATAAGACTTGAATAGCTCAGATCCTCAGAGCTGATTTAAAAGCTCTTAGATTTAATTGTGAGACAATCAAATGGAAATATTTTGAAAGAGATGAAATTGATCTTTTATTTTTATTTTCTGTGTGTTACAGACAGTGATGTGATAGAACTGAGCAGTGATGAAGAAGATATTCTGATGACAAAGGATGAAGACAATGACGTGGACCCAGAGGATCCGAACAATGCAGGCAGTCACATCAACGATGCTCTCAACGTCCACGATGACTTTGGTCGAGTTTTAGTCAACATTGGACATCCACCAGATGAACCAGACATATTTCTGGCACCTCAAATAGCTAGATACATCAAAAAACACCAGGTAAGATAATGTCATTGAATTGATCAGGGACTGTATGAATTAGGTACAGTGTACATTGTATACAGGGCTAGATAAATCTGATACAGTTTACATTGTATATATTTTTTATTTTTTATCATTTTTTATTTTTTATCATTTTATTGTCAGTATTAATTATGTTTGGTATTCATCATTTGTTTTATAATTTCTTGAATGAAATCGTAGGAAATGAAATAGTGTAATTTTGTTGAGATTTTCTAACACTGTTTCTACCCCAATGATTGTAGATTGGTGGCGTTCGGTTCCTGTATGACAATCTCATTGAGTCCCTGAGCAGGTATCGGAACAGCCCTGGTTTCGGTTGCATTTTGGCTCACAGTATGGGTCTAGGTAAGACGATTCAGATGATCTCCTTTGTGGATGTGTTCCTGAGATGTGCCAAAGCCCGGACGGTTCTCCTCATCGTCCCCATCAACACACTACAGAACTGGATGGCCGAGTTTAACATGTGGTGCCCTTCCCAGGATATGGTGGGAGATCTGGGAACAGATCATGTGATCCCCAGACCGTTTAACGTGTACCTTCTCAATGATAACTTCAAATCCACAGGAGCCAGGGCCAAGGTCATAGGTAGGTCAAAAGTCACACCATAAACCATTACCATGATTACTGAATGACATGTAACTAAAGAGCATGGTAACTTTTAGTCCCTTTCTTAGATATTTTGATATAATTAGAATGAAATCAAAACAAATCTCTGTATATAAATGGAAATATGTTTTGATTCCACATGCAATAAAATATTACACTAAGACAAATATAAATTGACAGTTTAAATTTTTCTGATAACAAGGGGAGTGGTACACAAAGGGAGGAGTTTTATTGATGGGGTATGAGATGTACAGATTACTGTCTAGTCGCAAAGGTCACATGGCAGATGTCAGGGTCAAAAAACCAAAGAAGACCTCGGCATCTCCTGTCGTAATCGACGTGGATGAGGAGGATAAAAATAAGGAGCTCTTAGTGGGTAAGTCCACCTTAAATTAACCCTAAAATAAGGAGCTCTTAGTGGCTAAGTCACCCTTAAGTTAACTGTGAAATAAGGAGCTCTTAGTGAGTAAGTCCACCGTAAGTTAACCGTAAAATAAGGAGCTCTTAGTGGGTAAGTCACCCTTAAGTTAACTGTAAAATAAGGAGCTCTTAGTGAGCAAGTCCACCTTAAGTTAACCGTAAAATAAGGAGCTCTTAGTGAGTAAGTCACCCTTAAGTTAACTGTAAAATAAGGAGCTCTTAGTAAGTCCACCTTAAGTTAACTGTAAAATAAGGAGCTCTTAGTGAGTAAGTCCACCTTAAGTTAACCGTAAAATAAGGAGCTCAGTGGGTAAGTCCACCTTAAGTTAACTGTAAAATAAGGAGCTCTTAGTGAGTAAGTCCATCTTAAGTTAACCCTAAAATAAGGAGCTCTTAGTGAGTAATTCACCCTTAAGTTAACCCTAAAATAAGAAGCTCAGTGGGTAAGTTTATCTTAGTTTAACTTTTGGGTAAGTTTACTTTGGGTTAATGAATCAAATCTTCAAGGTGTAAAAACTTACATACAATGTAATGTCATCTATGACAGGTTAATTGAACATTACAAATTAATTGTAAGTCATTATTCCAAGCTTTATAGAAGTGGCTTAGTACTGTGTCTGATTCTGCTAGAGCTAGAGACAAAACAGACAAGATAAATAAGTAAGGCTGTACATGTATTATCATTATTGTGTGACACAGTGATTTACCACAAGTGGAAGCTGAAATTAAATGCTAGCATATTAACAATGGAAATCAAAGTTTTATCTAGCGAAATCCAGGTCAAATTCAAAATTCTGATACTAGAAATGCTGCATCACAGCTCACAAATTGAGACAAAAACATTTCTGTTTCTTCTTTTAAAGGTGTCCATGAAGCCCTGATCAACCCAGGCCCTGACCTTGTTGTGTGTGATGAAGGTCACCGAATTAAAAATAGCCAAGCTGGAATCTCACAGTCCCTCAAAAACATCAAAACCAGGTAACACTCCAAAACATCAAACCAGGTAACCAAGATTCCACTAATTAAATTCCTCTCTAAACATTTCCTTGTAATCTCAATTTATCACTATTGTACATCCAGTGGTTGAAGTTGTTGGTACAGGCAAGAGTTTTATGTTGTTTCAGTTAAAGAGTTAATGAACAGCGAAAAGATTACTGTGATTGATAAGGAAAATAAATGTCACAGTTATCTTCCCTATTGTAAACACAAGTGAATACATGAAATTACATCCCCACAAACCTGGTAAATTTTAGCAATCCATGAGAATGTGCCCCCTTGAATTCGTATGCTTTCACAGTCAATGTAAACAAGTGTTTTAAGTTATTTTTTCTACAATTATAGTAAAACTTGACAAAAGATATATCCTGGCCTCGCTGCCTTTGACCTCTGCTGTGTTAATCTCTCAGAACTTTATTTGATGTTTATCAGTTACATGTATGTACATATGTAATACATGTATTTAAAAAAAAAGCAAAATCAGGTTTCTGGGTAAATGATAAAAAGAATTCGAAATCTGCCAGCTACAGCAGAGGCAACATGATTTCAAGTTTTCTTTTGGATGTTATGTCATATAACCAGTGCATATTTTTAACTGATTTGTTTTATGTTGTAGACGACGTGTCGTGTTAACTGGGTACCCTTTGCAGAACAACCTCATGGAGTACTGGTGTATGGTAGATTTTGTCCGTCCCAATTATCTCGGCACCAAAACAGAATTCAGCAACATGTTTGAGCGACCAATAACGAATGGCCAATGTCAGGACAGTACACCAGCTGATGTGAAACTAATGAGATATCGAGCTCATGTACTCCATAGCTTATTGGAGGGGTTTATACAAAGGTAGATATAAAACTGATGAGATATTGAGCTCATGTGCTCCATAGCTTATTGGAGGGGTTTATACAAAGGTAGATATAAAACTGATGAGCTATCGAGCTCATGTGCTCCATAGCTTATTGGAGGGGTTTATACAAAGGTAGATATAAAACTGATGAGATATCGAGCTCATGTGCTCCATAGCTTATTGGAGGGTTCATACAAAGGTAGATATAAAACTGATGAGATATCGAGCTCATGTGCTCCATAGCTTATTGGAGGGGTTTATACAAAGGTAGATATAAAACTGATGAGCTATCGAGCTCATGTGCTCCATAGCTTATTGGAGGGGTTTATACAAAGGTAGATATAAAACTGATGAGATATCGAGCTCATGTGCTCCATAGCTTATTGGAGGGGTTCATACAAAGGTAGATATTAAACTGATGAGATATCAAGCTTGCATACTCCATAGCATATTTTAGGTTTTACAAAGGTAAAACTGATGAGGTAACAAGCTCATGTACTCATTACTGGAGAGGTACATGTAAAACGGGATACCAATCTCATGTACTCCATAGCTTACTGGAGGGCTTTATACAAAAGTAAATACAGAACCAATCAGATATAAAACTCGCACACTCTAATGTTTACTGAAGAGGTTTTGTAGCATAACATACCTGTATTATAATATAAAAGTAGAATCATACCATGTCATGTACTTCACTGATGATTGAAATGTTCTATAAAAGTCAGATTGACAGTCACGGTTCAATATGGGGACAAAGAACAAGGTTCACTTAGGGCTTTTTTTGGCCCTGTGAATTTTGTGAATAATTAAAACTGCTTAGTTTTAGTTGTCAATACATCAAATATTACTTAGACTGTAAGTGACTGTATAACAATTAAAAATGATGTAATTTTCTTGCTAGTCAGTGTATTATGATATTATGAATATGTCATTATTCCCATATCCTGAATAAAAAAAAATGGCCAAAACTTTAATCTTTGTGTCAATATTGTGTATAGAGTATGACCTCTGACCTCTGATCCAAAATGTGCAATCATATCATGATAGATCTGTTTCTGAAGATCATAAATTGTGTTATATTTTTGGGGTCAAGGGGTGTGCTCATATTTTAATTCTTTGCTTAAGGTACTTAAATACACAAGTTTTCTACAAAATTCAAGAACTTTGCAATTTCACAAAGCCTGGTTCCAAAATCTGGACTCTCATATCAAACTTGATATAGAAAATGAAAGCACTTATTCTCTACATTTTATTAATGTTTTAAATAGGACATAGGGTGTTACTAATAAATAGGACCATTTTATGCATACAGTGAGCATAGTTCTTGGTTTATTTCACAGTCTCTGGACTAGGAGCTAATGCATGTATTATTGTGAGCCTACCTCTTGGTTTATTTTACAATACTCTGGCCTACCAGGCCTAGGAGCTAATACATGTATTATTAGTTTCCTGTATAATTCCTCCAAGCAGTTAAGCTCTCATTTGTTTTCTGTAACATTCCACTTTGTTTTTATATTTCATTGCCCAGGACTATAATATTGCTTTATTTCCTGTATGTTTTTAGTTGGTCTTCCAGTCGCACACTATGTTGGTACTACATTACCCCTGACTGTGACAAGCTATCATTTGACTTCTCTATTAATTTACAGGCAAGGTCACACTGTGTTATCCCCTGACTGTGACAAGCTATCATTTGATTTCTCTATCAATTTTCAGGCGAGGTCACACTGTGTTACAAGAAGCCCTTCCACCAAAACAGGAGTTGATACTCTTAGTTCGCATGTCCCAAATCCAGCGAACACTATACAGGGAGTTCATGAACTCACTTCAGATTCAGAATCTCGGGTCCTGGGCGAGCACGAACCCACTCAAAGCTTTCGCTGTTTGTTGTAAGGTAAGGTTTGTAAAAGATTTTGAAAATGATGAACTGGAAATCCTTAAACTGACAAATAAATTGAATTGAATAATTGATAACATTCATTTGATAAAAATGTGCAATCCCTGTTTACTTAATCAGCTGTTAATATACATTGTGCATGTAGGAATAGGATAAAATCTGTATACATTAAATTTTGTCTATTGGTTGGAAGGTATGGAATCACCATTATACCTGTAATTTATATTTTTATCTATTTATAGATATGGAATCTCCATTATACCTGTATTTTATATTTTGTCTATTTATAGATATGGAATCACCATTATACCTGTATTTTATATTTTGTCTATTTATAGATATGGAATCACCTTTATACCTGTATTTTATATTTTGTCTATTTATAGATATGGAATCACCTTTATACCTGTATTTTATATTTTGTCTATTTATAGATATGGAATCACCTTTATACCTGTATTTTATATTTTATCTATTTATAGATATGGAATCACCCCGACATTTTATACAACTTAATCCAGAAGAAGAACAGCATTACTGATGACAATGACCTTGACATTGAGACAGAAACTGGAACAGGGGGGAAGAAGAAGAAATGTGTGAAGAAGAAACCCCCCAAGAGCCCCCAACCTGTGGACCAGTATTACCCTCCCTATGAAAGGGGGCAGGAAATCAGCTATGACTGGGTAACATCTCCATTTTATAATCAGAATTACCCTCCCTGTGAACAGGGTTAAGAAATCAGCCATAACTGGGTAACTTAGCTAGTTACCCAGCTAGTAATCTGTTTTACCCTCCCTGTGAACAGGGACAAGGAATCACCTATGACTGGGTAACATTTCTATGATCTTCTTTGTCATAAACATTACACATTAAGAGGGGGAGGGAGGTTATGGTTGGTTAAAGGCTCTGTTTTTGTTTACCATTAAGTGAAGCTGGCTTTTGATGACATGATTTGAGGGAGTGATTGGGAGGTTTTTTTTTAATATATATGGGGAATGAAGATCATTTTCCATTGGTAATGATATACATGTACACTGTACTAGCATATGAATAATTATATCATATACACACTGTTACAGAAGTGCATCAGCCTTGATACAAGTGTTTTAGGCTTGCAAAGACAGTTGCTTGTATCTGGGGCTGCTTCCCTATTAATGTTAGAACTATCTACCTGATACTTGGTAGATATTAATGAACAAAATGCAGTTAGAAAAGCCAGCAGCACCATTATAAGTGACTTTTTAAATAGTTGAAGCCACTTAATTAGTTTGACCTAGTTTATGAGTTTGACCCCTTCCTTTCTTAAGGATATGATATTTTTCAGCAACAAAGCAGGCTTTGGGCCCTGTGTTACAGACAGACTGCCCTGTCACATTTTTGTAGAAGCTGTTAATCTTTGTAACCTCTGTCTTCACATGTAGGTGAGTGACCTATTTAAAAACTACGCAAGTGGACTATTGGAGTCCGGAGGAAAAATGGTCATCCTGTTCAAGATATTGGAGGAGGCATTAGCCATAGGAGATAAAATCCTAGTGTTCAGGTAAGATATTGTAGGTCTTCAGGCTCTTATTTTACACTCACTTACCCTTCACAATTGATGAATAAATGCTGAAGTTAATATATGCTACATTGCATTGATAGAGGTCACTAATACAGTGTTAATGAATAATTGATTTATTGCAGTCAAAGTCTCTTCACTCTCGATCTTTTGGAGGAATTTCTGTCCAAGAGAAAAGTCCCACGTCCAGACATGGATGAAAACTGGTGCAAGAATCAGAGCTATTTTCGTGAGTTTTTGTGGATTTATAGATGTGTAAATAGTTGTCTTGAAAATTGAGTATGAGCAAAAACATCAATTCCTTAAACAGAAATAATAATGTCAGAGTAATCAGTCAGAGTTCCTCAGTTACAAATTTAATGACCAGACATGAATCCTATTTGTACGTGTGGCACAGAACTTTCTAAAGCAGGACTTAATTGACAATTTCTGGTAGAGTGTCCTGTACCCTTTCAATTGGGAATTTTAAATTGAAAAAGTAGATTCTTTGGAAATACAAATGACATATGTTCTTATGATTAGATAACAGGCTTTTACTTGTTTCATATTTTATGAAAAATAAGTCTCAAAATTCAAGAGTTTTGATAAAAAGCCCTAAAAAATTTAATATGCACATCCTTTTGGAATTTATGCTCGGACTGCCTGCAATGGAGAATAAACCCTATTTCGATGACCTTTTGGTCAAGGTCATCCTACTGCAAAATCATAGACAACAGGAATTATGTATGTTTATCTCTCACCGACCTTGGACTTTTCAAAATAATATTGGTTAAAGATTTAATGTTTGGGTAATTGAACAAAAACATCAGACAAGGCTTAGATCCAGCAGACTATAAATGGTAGTATATTCATCACGCCCATCTCAAAACATCAGACAAGGCTTAGATCTAGCAAACTATAAATAGTTGTATATTTGTCACACCCATCTCAAAACTGATGCCTTGGTTAATTGTTGTTCCTTTGTTTTTCATCAGGATTAGATGGCAGTACATCAGCCCAGGAGAGAGAGAAGCTGATCAATCAGTTCAACTCAGCGGACAACAATAAATCATGGCTGTTCCTTCTGTCCACGAGGTAAAAGACGTTCTTATTATACAAAACAAATCAATAAGTTAACTAAGTTGATTAAATCATTTATAAACAGTGATTAAATGGAGTGCACTGTTTGGTAGTCAGTCATTGTGTTTCTTACACATCTGTTTTATTTATAGAGCAGGGTCACTAGGGGTCAACCTGGTAGGAGCCAATCGTGTTGTAGTCCTGGATGCTTCCTGGAATCCGTGTCATGACTGCCAGGCTATCTGTCGAGTTTTCCGGTTTGGACAAGTCAAACCTAGCTACGTGTACCGACTGGTGACGGATAACAGCATGGAAAAAAAGATCTACGATCGCCAGGTCACTAAACAAGGAATGTCTAGTAAGTCAAGTGTAACATAACACTGAAATAAGTAAATATTAGTTAACCATACATGTACTGCACTAAACAAGGGATGTCTAGTAAGTCAAGTGTAACATAACACTGAAATAACTAAATATTAGTTAACCATACATGTACTGCACTAAACAAGGGATGTCTAGTAAGTCAAGTGTAACATAACACTGAAATAACTAAATATTAGTTAACCATACATGTACTGCACTAAACAAGGGATGTCTAGTAAGTCAAGTGTAACATAACACTGAAATAACTAAATATTAGTTAACCATACATGTACTGCACTAAACAAGGGATGTCTAGTAAGTCAAGTGTAACATAACACTGAAATAACTAAATATTAGTTAACCGTACATGTACTGCACTAAACAAGGGATGTCTAGTAAGTCAAGTGTAACATAACACTGAAATAACTAAATATTAGTTAACCATACATGTACTGCACTAAACAAGGGATGTCTAGTAAGTCAAGTGTAACATAACACTTAAATAACTAAATATTAGTTAACTATACATGTACTGCACTAAACAAGGGATGTCTAGTAAGTCAAGTGTAACATAACACTGAAATAACTAAATATTAGTTAACCATACATGTACTGCACTAAACAAGGGATGTCTAGTAAGTCAAGTGTAACATAACACTGAAATAACTAAATATTAGTTAACCATACATGTAGTGTCCAGGTCACTAAACAAGGAATGTCTAGTAAGTCAAGTGTAACATAACTTTTAAATAACCTTATAGAACTACATTTAGTAGTTAACCATTCATGCACTATTTTTCATACGGTCAAAAGAAACAATATACCCTTTATATACTAAGTTGAACAAATAAGCAATCTGCTCTTGTAAAGGCACAAAAGCTTGGGGTGGGGAATTTGGCAGGTTTCTTACTTTATGTAGTGCATAATTTAGTAAAAAAAAAAATAAGCATAATGATTAGCATAGAGTGAAATCCATTGCTCCATGGTAGGTCACTGGTCAGTCATACGTATAGGAATGCTAAAAATAGAAATTCACCTGTTCAAAACAAAACATTCCCACTCTCACATACCTGCAAAACCAGTTGTATTCAATTTGCTATGCACCAAAATCAAAATACGGTATTTAAAATTGTGCAAAGCATGTATATTTTATAATTAAATTACTAATGTGACACAGTAATGATCTATCAAATCAGTGATGACTTTTTTTTTGGATACATGGAAAACAATTGTACATAACTGTACAGGTGTATTAAATCATTAAACATATATACATGTCTATATATTGTTAATTAACTATATTATGCATTGTAAATACAAACTGTTAAGTGTTGTAATGATAGACATGTATGTGTTTGATAGATCGTGTAATTGTAAATACAAACTGTTAAGTGGTGTAATGATAGACATGTTTGTGTTTGGTAGATCATGTAATTGTAAATACAAACTGTTAAGTGGTGTAATGATAGACATGTATGTGTTTGATAGATCGTGTAATTGTAAATACAAACTGTTAAGTGGTGTAATGATAGACATGTTTGTGTTTGATAGATCGTGTAATTGTAAATACAAACTGTTAAGGGGTGTAATGGTAGACATGTTTGTGTTTGGTAGATCATGTAATTGTAAATACAAACTGTTAAGGGGTGTAATGATAGACATGTGCGTGTTTGATAGATCGTGTAATTGTAAATACAAACTGTTAAGTGGTGTAATGATAGACATGTTTGTGTTTGGTAGATCGTGTGATTGACGAGATGCAGATACAGAATCATCTGACGAGACGACAAGTGGACAATTTACTTCATTTTGAGGTCAGTCTTATTATGATTATTTAAATGATCAGTAAGCACTAAGGCCAGTAAAAAATAAAATATTGAGGTGTCAGATGGGATTTAGATTGAACTCAAGTGGCTTCTGTCCACGCACCATTGGCCCAGAGATAGAAAGAAAACAAATTGTTGGATAAAAATTGTATCTAATCACAAACCAGGGGATTGATTGATTTTATGTTGTTTTACGTCCCATTCGAGAATTTTTCACTCATATAGAGATGTCACCATATACCGGTGAAGGGCTTCAAATTTTGACCTTTACTCGGCATTCAGGGCCATTGAGCAGTGAGGGATCTTTATCGTGCCAACACCTGCCATGACACAGGGCCTCAGTTTTTAAGGTCTCATCCGAAGGACCCGCAACTTTCACTTCAAAGTGCTGAGCCCATGGCGAAAGAACAGTTGCTACCCATTTTATCGACTTAGGTCAGTTGCGACCGAGATTCAAACTCACAACCTCCCGATCACGGAGCGGGTGCTCTACCGACTGAGCTACCGTGAACAGTCACAAACCAGGGGAGATTCTGTATGTATCTTTCTTTGTAGGGGAGATTCTGTATGTATCTTTCTTTGTAGGGGAGATTCTATATGTATCAATCTTTATAGGGGAGATTCTATATGTATCAATCTTTGCAGGACAAGGAAGATGAGTTTATAGACTTCAGCCAGGAGGATTATGATGATCCAATCATGAGCAAGATACTACAGACCGAAGGTCACTGGCTGACCAGGGTAAGATACTGAAGGTCACTGGCTGACTAGGGTAAGGTACCGAAGGTCACTGGCTGACCAGGGTAAGAAACTGAAGGTCACTAACTGACCAGGGTAAGATACTAATGGTCACTGACTGACCAGGGTAAAATACTGAGGTCACTGACTGACCAGAGTAAAATATTGAAGGGCACTGACTGACCAGGGTAAGATACTGAAGGTCATTGACTGACCAGGATAAGATACTGAAGGTCACTGGCTGACCAGGGTAAAATACTGAAGGTCATTAGCTGACCAGGGTAAGATACTGAAGGTCATAAGCTGACCAGGGTAAGCATCACTTGTAGTACACAGTATTAGAAAATATCATTATATTACTTGTATAAGAATTACACTTTCTTATAAACTCATTTTGAAAATATTTCAGCATAGGAGATACATGTTGCTGTCACTTCATACATCTTGTGTTCATTGATTCAGATAAATTTTTTTTTTAATTTTAGAAACCATTTGAACACGAGTCCCTATTAATTGATAAGAAGGAACTAAGACTGACGAAAAAAGAAAAGCGACTTGCCCAGCAGAGCTACGTGATGGAGAAACGTCTCAATGTCTCTTACTCTCGACCGTCCTATGCCGCTTTCTACCCCAAGGGACAAGAAGGCCCCTCCCGCCAGATCAAGATTGTTTCCCCACCTTCACAGCCGATCTGGTCAGTAAAACCAAATTCATCTGTTCCACCTTCCATATCAAGAATATCCTTTATTGGCAGTAACTATGTACATATATGTATGATTCTGTTCATATAGAGGTACACAGGCCCAGCAATGATTTTCACATCAGATTTAATTCAGGTTTCTTATTTTAGGCCATCCACTACCTATACCTCTCGACCAGTAGCTAGTGTTAAACCCATGGTAACGACCCCAGTTCCCATGCAACCAAAGGGGGTTGGAAGAGGAGACAACAGAAACCTGCCAATCATCAGCAAAAACAAACCTGGTGTGTCTGTGCACAAAGTCCTTACTACAACAGGTAAAATAATGACTATTACAGGTCAAATAATGACTATTACAGGTCAAATAATGACTATTACAGGTAAAATGACCAAACAAGCTATAAATAATGAACCACAAAGACCCTCCCTTAACAGGTAAAATGACCAAACAAGCTATAAACAATGTACCACAAAGACTCCCCCCCCCCCCCTTAACAGGTAAAATGACCAAACAAACTAAAAAAAATGTACCACAAAGACCCCCTCCCCTTAACAGGTAAAATGACCAAACAAGCTATCAACAATGTACCACAAAGACCCCCCTTAACAGGTAAAATGACCAAACAAGCTATAAACAATGTACCACAAAGACCCCCCTTAACAGGTAAAATGACCAAACAAGCTATAAACAATGTACCACAAAGCCCCCCCCCCCCCCCCCCCCCCCAACAGGTAAAATGACCAAACAAACTAAAAAAATATACCACAAAGCCCCCCCCCCCTCTTTAACAGGTAAAATGACCAAACAAGCTATAAACAATGTACCACAAAGCCCCCCCCCCCTTTAACAGGTAAAATGACCAAACAAGCTATAAACAATGTACCACAAAGACACCCCCCTATGAAGCATAAAGTGAATGATGAAGAATCTAAATCCTTATCTATATCTGTCTACATGTATATCTTTACTAAGACAAATAGATTAAAGAGTTTCATTTGTTTGTTGCACTTTATCTACAGATATTATGTTTAGGGTTGTCCCTAAGAATTAAAAAGGAGGGGACATTAAAAAGTATCTGGGGTTCCTTCCTTAACAGGGGGATGAGGGGGAATATCAGAATAACCAGGAAAATTCCCCAGCCCCTGGGTCTTAGCTACAACCCCTTATGTTCCGCTTCATTTACAGATATTATGTTCCACTTCATTTACAGATATTATGTTCCGCTTCATTTACAGATATTATGTTCCGCTTCATTTACAGATATTATGTTCTGCTTCATTTACAGATATTATGTTACCGGGGACAGCCACCAGTACACAGTCTACAGCGGGTACCAACAGAATTCCAGCTGGACAACAAATCTTCATCATTAAGACTCCCAAGGGCGTGTACATACGAACAAACTCGGGAAAGATTTTTGCTGTCCGAGCAAAGTTTCCATTGCCCGGGACAACCACTGCTGCTGCCACGACAACATCCTCTCTTGCTACCACAGCAACCAGTGGAAGTTCAGGTAGGACCTCATAGATAGGTCAAGGTCTACATTAAGTAGCACTCGTCAAAATGTTTTTAACTGATTACTAATAATTGCTATGGAACTATCAGTTATCACAAGTTTGTTTTACAATTCAGATTTTATGTTTTGAAGCTTTAAGAATAGAATTCCAGCTCCAGTTTGGGATGAGTTGGTCATGGCCTTTAGGAAATGTATACTAATGGAGGAACTTTGTAGGCCCCATGGGCCCCTTAATGATAACTATTAACACACACATGTACTATATATTAATGACCTGTCAATACTCTGTTAAAACCATTTTTTAACTTTTTCAGTCTTAACAACAGCTGACCTTCTGGCCTCCTCAGAGGAATCCGCCGACTCCCAGAGTGAATCTCAGACCAATCCAGCATCATCCAAAGAGGCTGACACGACAGACATTCTGGCCTCTCTTTATTCCACCCCCTCCCAGGACAAGCCCTCAATCTCTCGCACGGACTCCAGTGCTTCACTTGCTTCACAATTTGGCCGATCTGACATGTTGGGGGAGATAAACAGTCAAAAGTCAAACCATTCAGAATTTAGCAACACTGCGGGAACAGACAGAATGACAGACAACTCTGATAATTCTATAGTACGTGAGGAGGAACCACGTTATCCTAAAATAGCCCCCAACAGGATTTCATCCCAGCAAAGGGGCAATTCCACAATGTCTTCTCAGATGGGGGATACTTCTAATATGTTAGCCCAAATGGGGGGTAACTCTAATATGTCATCTCAGATGGGTGGAAACTCTAATATGTCATCCCAAATTGATGGTATATCTAATATGTCATCGCAGATTGGCGGTAATTCTAGTTCATCATCTTCGATGGGGGCTAATCCTAATATGTCACCCAATTTTGGTGGCAATGCTACAATGTCATCTCAGATGACAGGTAATTCAGCGATGCCTCAGTACCAGCTTCCAATGGGAGGAGGAATGGCACCCCCTCACATGCCATATCTGTTCCAGAATCAGCTCATGTTTAACCAGGGTGGGGGCTACCCCCCAATGTCTGGGATGGGCTCTATGCCCTACTCCAGTCCTATGCCTAATGAAGAAACCCCCACATCTTCTGTCCCCTCCTCTCTGCCTCCCACCAGTAGTCAAATGTCCATGCCATCTATGACCGGGATGCCTTCTATGCCTATGATGGGGTTCCCATTTGCCCCTTACCCCTTCCCTATGCCACAGCCGTATTTAATGCCAGGAATGGACCCTTCCTTCATGCCACATCTCCCAATGCCTGGACAACAGCAATATAACATGCATCATGGCATGCACATGCCAGGATCAAGTACAATGATGCCCCCGGAGTATCCAGGTTCCAAGGATTATCGTGGAAATTTAGGTCAGAACACGGCAGAGTTTCAGTCTGGACAAAATATGGAAATGAAGCACCAAGACAAAGTGGATATGTGAACATATAGAAAACTAAGAAACTTTTAACAGACCCTCAACATGTGAACTAAAATGCCATTGATGTAAAATTATTTAGAGCCATCATGTGACATCAAAAATTGATTGATAGTTTTTACACAATAATAAGGCATTCTGTTGAGGACCAAGTGTAGCTTGTACAAGATTTCAGCAAAGTTCACCATCTAAACTGATTTCTGAGATTCATTCATTATGACAGGCTACATTACATGGGCATCAAGTTATTGAAATTTTCTATCTAGTGAACAGTACTGTCCCAGTGGTAGAAATGCCTCTACCACATGTACAGACATACAGTGTACTTTGTAGTCATGGTTACTGTTGCCATGACAATAATGACAGCAGGCTCCCCCTGGAGACTGACAAATGCAATAGACAACAGTGAATGTCATAGTGAATTAGATGTTGTGATGCATGCTTTATCTATAAATATCCCACTATAGCATAAGTACAAACCACCCCCTCCACCTAGAGTGAATGACATATGTACATTATACATGCCATAGAACCAGGTGATTTACAGTCAACTTGTTTATAAATTTGATGACATAATTTATTATTATATTAATTTGCAACCAAAATACACCAAGAAATATAGATCAGGTCCTGAATGAGATAGCGGTGTAGCAAGTACCCCTTCTCCTCAGATAGTATTAATACTAGTTATGTAAAGCATGGTTCTAGAACTTTAAATGTCCATCAGTCATCCATCTGCTACTATATGTGTTTATACATATTCTGTTTTAAGAATCTACATCCATCACTTTTTTGTCTACAGCTCTACTTGTCGGTGATATTCTTGTCTCAGTATTATTGAATTCTAACAAATAAGTTTTAGGTCAAAATTTCATGATCACAAACCAAGACATTTTACCTTTAGAGCAACATGTTCAGTTCAGTGTTATGTACATGTAGAAGTATTTCTTACAATTTCAACAGTGTCAGTTTTAAATGCATCGAGTCAATTTTTTTAATATTGATTGAGCTGAGTACATTTTAAAACTACATCTTCATTACCTTCCTCTGAGAGGAATACATGTGTAAGAATATTCATTTCGTTCTCATTTGTTTTTTAAATTCATTAAAACATTCTCAGATGTGTATGATTGTTTTCAATTTTCCAGTCAGGACTTGTAAAAATGTCACTGGTGCTTGAAAAGAGTAATTCCTTCGGGCCCAAAAGAGTCTCGCAAATTTCAAAAACATTCCCTATCACCTCCATAATATGGCTGAAATTTTGCCAAACCAATAACCCTAAACATTCAAATGATAGACTGTCAACCAAAGCAATCAGTCAGATTTCATAATGTTTGAAGACAAAATTGTTCTTTTGAGGATAATATTAAAAACCGTCATCAATGCTTCTCGGTGATTGTTTCAATGCTTCTCAGTGATTGTACCTCCTATTTTGTCCTGATTAAGAGATAAGCTAGATGAACTGGGACAAAGGGCATTCAATGATGCCTAAAATGATTTTTTTTTTTTCTAAATCCTTGAAATTTTGCCCATGTGGACTAGAATCATCAAATTTTGTCAGTTGATGCATCTTAGGACCTGAGGATGTGTTGACCAAAAAATGACCTACTTTTTAGCTCACCTCAACAAAGTTGGAGGTAGCTTATGTAACATCGCCAGTGACCCAGGTTAAAGTTTTTGAAGCAGATTTCTTTTCCAGTACTTCTATGCCCTTTATTAATCAGAGATGCGTGGGCAATACTAGTAAGTTTCATTTTACAGACCCTGAAACGTGCTACCAGTCAAGGTTTCAGGTGCAGCAATTTCAGCTAAAGAATGACCAGGTTAAAGTTTTGGAGCAGGTTAAAGTTTTTGGAACAGGTCTCATTTCTAAGTTACTATAAGCCCTATATATTGACCAAACTTGTATGGGTGATACATCTAAGGATGCACAATACCAGGCTTGCTTCGGATGCTGGATCTGACCTACATTTTCTGGATGAGTGATCAGGTTAAAGTTTTTGGAGCAGGTCCATTACCAAGAAACTATATAGCCTCTCTGAACCAATTTTGCATGTATGATGTATCAAGGGATGCACACTATCAGAACTGCTTCAGATGTTGGAATTAACTACATTTTCCAGATGAGTGACCATGTTGAAGTTTTTGGAGCAGACTCATTCCAGTGCAACTTCAAGTCCTACCTAGACAAACTTGCAAGGATGATCATCAAGGGTGAACACTCTCAAACTTGTTTCAGGTGCTGGATTTGACTTGCATCTTTTGGATGAGTGACTAGTTTCATACCCAAGTAACTGCAATCCCTATCAGACCAAAATTGCATAAATTTGCATCTATGGATGCACACTACTAGCTTATTAGTTTTTTGTGGGACTTTGCCTTACTTAAAGATAACATTCATTAGGGCCCCGCAAGGATTTGCGGGTGCCCTATAGTAATCACTCTGTCTGTCTGTCTGTCATTCTTCCGTCCACAAATTCTCTGTTTTTTCTAATAACTTTTTTTGTAGTTGACCAATTAAGTTCAGATTTGGTATGTTGGTTGAAGAGGCAGTAAGACATATTTTGATGCTAAGTTTGGTTCTCTGTGTCATCCAGTTTGGAGCTGGGGTGGTGGGGTAGATTCCTTAACTTTGCATTTATAGAATGAATGCCAGGGCAAAGAGAGATAACTGCTGAGAATGTTCCTATTGTAAACTATGAAAGCTGCAACTAGTCCCATGGGATTAATTAACTTTCCTCTTGAAGAAAATCCAAAGCCTTATCTGTTTCCGTCAAATTGAGATTAACACCTCTGTCTGCATATGAAGTTTGTTTTGAAGTTAAGGTCAATTCTGAATGATATTTACATTCCCTGAAATGTGGATTTAAATAATGTTCATACTTTATTTTCGTAAAATACACAATGAGTTATGATTTTATTGAATTCTAAAAACAAGATATACATAAAGATATGTTTTTTTTTTTGTTTTTGTTTTTATTTATTTATTTTTATATTTATAATTTTTTTTTTTTTGCTGCCGTATGTAAATTCAAGAATACTTTTACTGAAAAAGTTCTTATTGTAAACTTGGAAGAAAAGGATGAGAGAGCATTACAATTAATCCCCTGGGATTAATTATCTTGTCTGGGGCAGAAAATTTTCCAGGCTTATCTTTATTTGTCACTTTAAGATAAATTAACCTTTGTATGTAACTGATATTTGATTTGAAGTTAAGGTCAAGCCTGTGTGATATTTGCATTCACTGAAGGCTGGCATTTTATAAAACACATGCTTTACTCTTGTTTAAATATACATTTAATTGAGTTATTATAGATATGATGTTTTTACTGCCTTATGTAAATACAGGGATACTCTTTACAGGTTGTTGGATATTTAGGAATTATCTTGAAATTTTATCAATACAGTTGTTATTGCTTATTCTTCTTCATATATATTTTTTTAAATTTTTGTAATCAATTAAAATTCTCATTCTGTAAGCTGCTCCCTTATATTTCTACCCCTCGGCGGGGCCCTTCCTGACTGGTCAGTTTTCTAGTTGATGTGAGCTCAATCTTTTTAAATCTTTTATATCCGAGACATTTTGAGGCGTCCTATCATCAAACCTTGTCAGTTGATTCATCTTAGGACTTCAGTATATGTGGACCCAAAGGTAGGTCACTCATAGTGATCTACTTTTAGCATTTTATCATTATTCATGATCACATCTTTATATCTTTGATATTATGATGCCTAAGATCATCAAACCTTGTCACTTGATACATCCTACTACGTAAGTACTAGTATATGTTGACTCACAATTAGTTCACAGGTACATGAACTTTTAAAGTTGCAGCTATTCATTTTCATCTTTGATACTATGAGGCCTAGAATCATCAGACCTTGTCAGTTGATGCATCTTAGAACCTCAATATATGCTGAGCCAAAAGTAGGTCACTGTGACCTAATTTTGCATTTTATTAATTTTTAAATATTTACATCTTCGATGCCATAGGGCTTAGGGTCATCAAATCTTTTCAGTTGATGCATCTTATGACCTCGGTATTTGACCCAAATGTAAGTTACAATGACCTACTTTTTTGAATTTTTATCATCAGTCTTTGTCAAATCTTCAATACTGTGAGGCCTAGGATAATCAAAACTCCATAGTTAATGCATCTTAAGACCTTATATGATATGCTGAGGCCTAGTATCATCAAACCTTGTCAGTTGATCTTTGGACCACAGCATATATTGACCCAAAAGTAGGTCACTGTGATCTGCTTTTTCCATTTTATCATTTGTCAATTTTATTAGATAATCAAACCTGGTCAGTTAATGCATCTCAAGACCTTAGGATTTGTTGAGCCAAAACAGGTCACAGTGATCTATTTTTTTTTTAATTTTGCAGCTATTCTTGTGGACTTCATGTTGCTTGGAAAATGTGAAGCCAAAGATCACTGTCATTGATGCATCTTGAGGCCACATAATGTATCACAATGACCTACCTTCTGTACATTACAGCTGTTCATTTTTAAAACATTTTAGCTAAATATTTGACACACTTAGAATCATCAAATCTTGTCAGCTGATGTATCTCCTAGAGTTCCAAGATTTGCCATTTTAGAAGTAGGTGATACTATTGTGCAATTCATCATCAGCTTTGGCAACTATTTTTTTTTCTTTAATGATGGACAGAGGAATGAAGCTCTTCCAACATTGCTCCAAATTAATGTTTGCAGGGAATCTTTACGTTATGAAGTTCTCAGTGAAACATGCAGAAAGTAACAGAATAACCTGATTTGAAGAAACAATGCCCACCTCAAGGACAGGTAAAATTAAGATCAATGCTGGGGTATGATAAACACCTAAGGAACCAAATACATTTAGCCATAAAATCATGCCTCTATTATGGGTTGCAACACAGTTCTCCCCCACCCCACCTCACACTGTGCAAGATGTAATTCATCACAATTTTAATTAGTTATGAAACTTTGAAAAGAGGCCACTGTGACCTAATTTTGGGTTGTGACATACCTTTTATGGTTCAAGGCCTTACACTGTGCATGATATAATGCAGACACAAACTGTTTACACACAGCCAATTGAAAGCTGTATGATAGCAAGTCCTGTTAAAAGTCAGGCATACAATAATATTCTTGATATTTAATTATTTCAGTAAAATGTAAGCCTCTAAATGCTCTTCTGCTTCAGAATTAGTCTGGAAATGATTTGTAGACCAACAGAAGGGTAAGACATTTCATATCCATGATAGAAGGCCTGTTAACAGTTTGCTGGGATCATAATGAGAAATTTGAAGCCAATCATTACAAATCATAACTTAGCAACAAAACAAAAAAAGTTGACTTTAAGCACCTTTTTTATTATCAAATTTATTAATAGACAGTAGATAACATACAGCGTAAAATAAGTCATTGACATTCATATAAAACATTCAAAAATCGAAGTCCACAGTCTTTTATCAAAAAGAGAAAATTTGTTACAAGCTATTCCATAGAGGGAATTATTACCTCACATTTATTTTAGGTTTAAGACTGGCCTTACGTGGAAAAAGAAGAGCCCTTAACTTCCAACATATGATTTTCTGCTACAGACACAAGGTTTATGACAGTGTTTTGAACATGAGTAAACAGGACAGAGAAGTTCTAGTGAATACATAACTAACGTAATACCTATGCCCAGTTATAACACACTGTTATCATACAAGTTATCAGGACAATGGATTATTGTTTGGATTTAAGTGTAAAATTCAACAAAACATTGACAATGGGAGTAGCTCAACAAGAATCTATATCTACTAACCAAACTTTATACATATCACCTCTTTTACCTACATGTATTTTATCCAGTCATCAATATAACCAAGGTGTCTTCAATACACAGTCTCTGCCTTAATACTTGATAACGGGACAGAAAGATGTACCAATCTCTCTATTTTTTTTTTTTTTTAAACTTTTTTAGTATGTTCACCTTGGTGCAATGTTGGAACAAATAAATTAAAGAATTCAGAAGTTGTGGTGATGACTGTCAAAATTACTGCAAAAGTTTAAAGGAATCACCAGAAAAAATGTACGTTATGTTCAGCAATTTAGAATTGACATATTTATACACCACAAAAAAAAAATTGTACAAGCTAGCACAAAGAAAACCCAGTCCTTTCCTTGCCACTAAACCTCAAAGCTGTCAATCATCACTAGACTCCGCCTCCTAATTATTGTCACTATAAACATTAAGATCTCTAAGCTGTGAGAAGCTATATAAATATATACAGAATTATAAATATAAATCCCCCTTCAGAAAATGATAAACTGTGGTTGAAGTCTGTGGAGCGATTTGTTGATGATCACAAGATTCCGTCTCCTCAATATTGTCAATATAGAGATGGTTACACATTATGGGGGTGGATCCAAATGTTTTCCTCTGCTTCTGTTCATCTCTTCAAATTTCTGTAAAAATTAAGAGTAAATTATTTTTAAAAAATGCAGTTTCTCAACAGTATGGGTCAAGCATATACAAAACTTTTTTTTCAAAATTTTTATCATTGAATTTCTATACCTCCGATTTAGATGACTATTTGAATGAAACAAAACAGAATAATCTAAATAGGGTCCATAAAAAACAATAATGGGGGTATTTTTTTTTTTAAAATCCTCCATGTATATAAAATAGGGCATATACATTCTGATTCAGAAGAGAAACCTTGAGACTTAGGACCAATCAGTTCATCTGAATTCGTACAGAGACATGAAATGAAGACTTATACCCAACCCCTTCCTCTGATACGGCAGATCCGTACAGAGACATGAAATGAAGACTTATACCCAATCCTTTCCTCTGATACGGCAGATCCATACAGAGACATGAAATGAAGACTTATACCCAATCCCTTCCTCTGATACAGCAGATCCGTACAGAGACATGAAATGAAGACTTATACCCAATCCCTTCCTCTGATACAGCAGATCCGTACAGAAACATGAAATGAAGACTTATACCCAATCCCTTCCTCTGATACAGCAGATCCGTACAGAGACATGAAATGAAGACTTATACCCAATCCCTTCCTCTGATACAGCAGATCTGTACAGAAACATGAAATGAAGACTTATACCCAATCCCTTCCTCTGATACGGCAGATCCGTACAGAGACATGAAATGAAGACTTATACCCAATCCCTTCCTCTGATATAGCAGATCCGTACAGAGACAGGAAATGAAGACTTATACCCAATCCCTTCCTCTGATACGGCAGATCCGTACAGAAACATGAAATGAAGACTTATACCCAATCCCTTCCTCTGATATAGCAGATCCGTACAGAGACATGAAATGAAGACTTATACCCAATCCCTTCCTCTGATACGGCAGATCCGTACAGAAACATGAAATGAAGACTTATACCCAATCCCTTCCTCTGATATAGCAGATCAGTACAGAAACATGAAATGAAGACTTATACCCAATCCCTTCCTCTGATACCGCAGTCAAACATCAGATGAAAATGTATAACCAATCCCTTCCTCTGATTTAGTGCAGAAAAATTAAATCTATACGTAACCAATACCTTCCTCTGGTAAATATGAAACTGTGACTTATAACCAATCCATTCCTCTTATTCAATACAGAGACATGAAATCTAGACATAACCAATCTGTTCCACTGGAGACATTACGCTATCATAATCCCTTAAACCATACAACAGGGCATGTCTACTGCACCTTCCCAGCTTTGAATAAAATGTTACAGTGTAAGACATGTCTCCCTGATGATTTATAATTGTCAATATTTCTACTCAACAAATATCTCATCCTCTCTGAAGACTAATAGACTGTCAATGCTTCAACTTGCCAAAACACTGAGACAATTTAAACCTGTCAATGGAAAAATGTGAAGATAACGAACAGTGATCAATCTAAAACCTACAAACAATACAAATCTGTGAACAGGGAATAAAACACAGACACCTGGAAATTCCAGAGGTGGGATCAGCTGCCTGGAAGGAGTAAGCATTTCCTAGGTTGTATTTCCTTACAGTCATTATAATGACCATAGAATTTAGTTGAAATCTCTGTAACATCAACTTAATTGTCAGTAGCCTGCCTTGGTTCATCCTCATAACGTCAGGGGTCCCAAGTTAACTTGTTGCGGTTGGACCCCTGAAAAATTTCATTTGATATTTTAGGGGCTTGCTTCTCTTATTGAGAAGCACCAATCAGATCGGGGCTTTCATCAATTGATATAAAACATAAACAGAAAGTAAGCAGTTAAACCTCAATGCACATCTTACAGGTTGGTTGTCAACAAAAGGGTTAATGTGATTGGTCGAGAGATAAAAAAAATACAATCAAGATTTTTATTTTCCCCAGAAGACGTCTCTGCAGTCAGCTAGTAGAGTATCTAATGAAATTTGTCAGGGGGTCCAATGACGATGAGTTGACTCTGGACACCTGACGTTGTGAGGATGGCCTTAGTTTAAAAAATGATTGTACTTGGGGCATCCAATTTTACTGACACATCAAGTACAAGATATGAAACTTACAGGCTATATAGATGCACTTGACACAATATAAGAATGACAGGAGGCCCATGGGCAACAGCACTCACCTGCATCATCTTAGCCCTGCTGCTCTCTAGCAGAAAAATTTTTAAGTTTTTTTTTCCCTTTTTATAATAAACGTAGAATTTTGATCCCATGTTGTGACCCCACCTTATCCCCAAAGAATCATGACATAATCCGTGTTAAACCTTCAAACACAGGGATACATCAGTTTGAATATTACTAATATGGTCTTGCTGTTCTGGAAAATATTTTTTTTACTGTGTTTATATGTGTATTTACACTAATATGTAAAATTTGGTTTCAATTTTAGCCCCAAGCTAACCCTCGGTTTAGTAATTTTAAAAGTAAACAAATTACATCTACAAAACTTGGGAAAGTTTGCATATTGATACAATTTAAATATACCAACAACAAATCTTCACGTTTTCTTCATTATCTACCCTTGGAAGAGGGTCTTGCCATTCATTTCAACAAATCTGAATTCCTTTCACCTTGCTTTGTGGCAAGACAGACTGATGTTGGACAAAGGGTGATCAGAAAAGCTTACTTGAGCTGCTCTGGTAAACGATTAACAGATAGACACCTCAACACACACCATACACACAGGGTCAGAGAAACTATAACTTTTGACTGGGTTGGCTGTTACTCATTGATAAGAAGATAACACTGACACAGTCATGAAGTGTTGAACTTAGATTAGTCAGCATGGTCCCAAAGAATGCATGATTGTTTTATAACTTTAAATAAGAAGAGTAATGCCATTGTGCAATTGAGAGGTTCATTGATCTTTGTCACTTTTCTTAAATAATTATAATTGCAAAAATACAAACTATATTATTGTATAATAACTGAGAAAAATGTATTGATACACATGATCTGAAGGATAAAGCTGACATACATAGTGAACAACAATGAACAGCTTATAGTGTATATCAGTGAACAGCTGATATACTGTATATAGTGTATATCAGTGAACAGCTGATATACTGTATATAGTGTATATCAGTGAACAGCTGGTATACTGTATATAGTGTATATTAGTGAACAGCTGGTATACTGTATATAGTGTGTATCAGTGAACAGCTGATATACTGTATATACTGTATATCAGTGAACATATAGTGTATATCAGTGAACAGCTGATATATTGTATATAGTGTATATCAGTGAACAGCTCGTATACTGTATATAGTGTATATCAGTGAACAGCTGGTATACTGTATATAGTGTATATCAGTGAACAGCTGATATACTGTATATAGTGTATATCAATGAACAGCTCGTATACTGTATATAGTGTATATCAGTGAACAACTGGCATACTGTTTATAGTGTATATCAGTGAACAGCTGATATACTGTATATAGTGTATATCAATGAACAGCTTGTATACTGTATATAGTGTATATCAATGAACAGCTGATATACTGTATACAGTGTATATCAATGAACAGCTCGTATACTGTATATAGTGTATATCAGTGAACAGCTCGTATACTGTATATAGTGTATATCAATGAACAGCTGATATACTGTATAAAGTGTATATCATTGAACAGCTGATATACTGTATATAGTGTATATCAGTGAACAGCTGATATACTGTATATAGTGTATATCAGTGAACAGCTGGTATACTGTATATAGTGTATATCAGTGAACAGCTGATATACTGTATATAGTGTATATCAGTGAACATATAGTGTATATCAGTGAACAGCTGATATATTGTATATAGTGTATATCAGTGAACAGCTCGTATACTGTATATAGTGTATATCAGTGAACAGCTGATGACAGATATTACATAATATCTACACTGACACACAGGACATAAAAACTGGGGTGATACAATATGCAACGACAACATACAAGATATACAGGTACAAACAATACGATGTACAACAAGGACATGCAATATGATATATACAATAAGATGCTATCATGGACACACAATATGGACACATGATATGAAAACACTAACAATCATGATACGGTTATAAGATTGACACTGATATTAGATACCATATGTATAAGATATGGTGCATGGTGTATTTGAAGTAGTCTCCATCTGACCGATTTCAATCAATGAGCAAATAAATGAACAGCAGTAGTATTTCAAAATAATTAAAATGAATATATTTCAATGTTTGCTCTGCTCCTATTTTGTAATGTTTAATGGACTTTTGAGCTCGAATATTGTTTGTTATATCCACATATTTCATGATGCAACTACCATATTTCTAAAATATTAAGAAAATGTAAACTTTCTATGATGTTCAAAATTTGACGTTTTCTGCAATCATAAATCTATACAATTTTTATCACTTTATTAGGACAATGTGAAACTGAATGAAACATTAAAATCTATGCAGTTAAAGTTATTCATTTAACTTTCACAAACATGACTTGTTGTTTTCATCAAGGTTTTTGAAAAAAAGAAATGGTCTGTGTCACCTGTCCTTAACTCTTCAACAGATTGAGACTTGTTCTGGTTCTCAGCCCTATAACAGATTTATCTGGTTCCTATTTCAGTCTCTTAGATTAATTAATGTATGGATTTTGCAAAGTAATTCTGTTCAATAGTTGCATTTTTAAAGGACCTGACTATTTTTCAAATTTCTTAATTATCTCCCCTTTGGAAAGAGGAAAGGCTTTCCATTTCAACAAATTTAATCTTCCTTTCTCAAAGATGTTTCATGGGAATTTTGGTTGAAGCTTGAAACAGTAATTCTGGAGAAGAATATGAAAATGTGGCCAAGTTTTGGACAACACACAAAAAACATGACAGACAGAAATGGCTCAGTGGTTCTGGAGAAGAATATAAAAATGTGGCCAAGTTTACAGACTACAAACAAAAAACATGACAGACGGACATGGCCAGACAATCATCAATCAAAAAGCTCACTTTAGCCTTTGGGACAAGTGAACTTACAAAAAGAGTTGCATATATCACATGCTGATGAAATGATCAATCAATATGTTTACAGTTAAACACTCCTTTTTACTCATGCCCAATACGATAAATACTCTGAATTACTCAAGGTAGACAACTCCACAAATTTATCCCTCACTACTAATCTGATTCATGCGGCCAAACATGTTGGTACTAACATAAGTGATCAACTTCTTGAGAAGTCGAACTGCCGTGCCTGGAACAAACTGAAATCATAGGCATGTATAAATAAGCTGAAACATCCAAAATACTGATACAAAGCAGTAATTCTCTATAGACAACAGGCAGCCAATACTATGACTCCCAAGCCAAGCAGAGACGAGCTCGGATCAAGCTAGAAACACATGCCTACCCACCCTACAGCAGCCTACAGGACTTTTTACTTCCCGATCCTGGAGATTTCCCGGGGGCTGGGGTACGTTTATTTATTAACCTTACCAAACCACAGAAAACCTGGAAACAGAGATATATAAACATCAGTCAACATTAAAAACCTCAGTAGTCAGGATGCTGCAGCTACAGGATAACCTGTCTGTACATAAGAGTTCCTGACCCGCTGGAATGATTGATTGGATTTTTTTTTGTACAGACAGGAAACATGTTCCTATGGCAGCCCCATCTCTGACTACTGCAGTGCTAACACAGACTTACACAGTTTGGTCTAAAGTATTGCACATTTTGACTTGGACTTTGTGTTTTTAGGTCTTCTCTCTGGATTCTTTTTGTTTATTAATCGAACTAAGTCACAGAAAATCTGAAATTAAATCCAACATTAGTACAATATACATCACTGTACAACATCCTTTATCCTTTGAAATTCATCATGTTTATACATAATAATTATATTTTCTATACTTTCATTAACAAGGTAACAAAATATCACCAAAATAATTTTCCCAAGAAAAAGAATTGATTTGTTCTAATATGGCCTCCACTATATCAGAAGTGTTAGACTTTCCAGTTATCTGAGGCCAACAATCGATTTGTTCTAATATGGCCTCCACTATATAAGAAGTGTTAGAATTTCCAGTTATCCGAGAGGCCAATAAAAATTTACATGTAAAGCTGTATGTTGATTTCCAATTCGTCAACTAACTGTCAGAATATAAAGTATCAACACATTTAAAACATAAGTAAATTGATATACATTTAAAAATTGTTTCCTATATAAATCTATACTAAAAAAGTCTTACTCAGTGTTGAGGGGGCAATGCCAGAATAAGAAGGGGATTATTTCATAAAGGGTGGGAAAATTCCCCAACCTCCAGGTCTTATACACAACCCTTAATACAGGTATCTAGGATTTTATCTCAGTATTGATGAGTATTATACAGAGTACATCAAAATCAGACTTAGATGCAGTAACTAACAATTGGATTCTCTTGTTTCTTGTGTAATTTCTCATACTTGTATTTTGAATCATCATCTAACATCCTACCCCATTCTTTGAAGTATTCATGTATAATATTTTTGATGTAAAACATCTTTGGACTCGTGTATTGTATACAGTGTACAAAATCCCATCTCCCGACTCATTTCCACTTTTATAGGACCCCAGTATTATCTCATTCTATGAGGTCTTTACACTATGTGTACCTTATTTTCAGATTTATATGAATTGTACCACATTCAAAGATTTTCTACCTTATTCCCAGGTGCTTGTACCTATAAGACTTACTTCATTGACATTAACTTTCTTTTTCGCTGAGGTCTCCATGAATTCACAGTTGAAGTGACGGGCCAGTCCCAAACCTTGGTCCTTTCCTACAACCCGCTCATCTTCTAAGTCACATTTATTTCCTACCAAAATCATAGGTACCTAGTCAAACAAGAAAAAGACATATGTAACACATTCACTTTCCTGCACACAAATGAGAAACATTTTACAAGTCAGATGCCAGTATTCTTCAAAATCATGGTTACATTGAAATTGGAAAACTTTTTGTGAAAAGGCAGTAAAATGTAAGTAATCAGGGCTCAAAACAATTGATGGCCTACTGGTCTGGGGCCAGTAAATCTAGGATTTTGGTTAATGCCTTGTAAACAGCATGTGCCCTTTAGACCATTAATTATTTTATACATATCAAAATTCATTCACAGTCGGGCTAGTTAATAATTTTGTGTGCCCAAATTCTGTTTGATATACATACAATTTCTTGTTTAGTTAGGTTGTACTTTGAAAAAAAAACAACTTCAATTCAATATCACAAATATTTCTTAGAACAAGTTGTCTTGATTAAAATATTCCTAATCGTCTCTAAGTTTTCTTAAGAAATTTAAGTTAACAAAGTATTATCGTATATAACAAGAAGTAGGAGTGGTAAACACCTCGGATAAAATACTAAATATGCAGTGACTGAAAGTGAAGAATTGATGAGGAGGAAATCTTAATTACTTAATTGTTAGTTAATAAAATCAGAAAATAAACTGTAATGAATATAGTACATGTTTATTTATCATAGGTTTTGGACCAGTTTTTCATTTCTACTAGCTCAATCAGACAGTAAGAGTTATCATATGATCAGTAAAAATTGAAGTTGATAGCCTGAGTGACCAGAGAAAAAAACAAGAGGCCCATGGGCCACATCGCTCACCTGAGCACACTGGCTAGGAAAAAAAGCAAAAATCAGTTCAGTATTGAAAAGTTTATGGGGGAAGGGGGGTTGAATTTTAAACTACCTAATGATGCTTTCATATCAATATAACAAATGGCTTTGCTGTTCTTGAGCAGCAGATTTTTTCCCATATATTCATTTGTAAAACTTTGATCCCCATTGTGGCTCTACCCTACCCCCGGGGGGGGGGGGGGGGGGGCTCATTTGAACAAATTTCATTCTACACTACCCAAGGATGCCTCCATATTAATTTGACTAGTCATGGCTTTTCTGTTCTTGAGAAAAAGATTTTTTCCTATATAATCCTCTGTAAACTTTGACCCCCCATTGTGACCCCATCCTATCTCTGCTGGGGGGGGGGGGGTGTCATGACTTGAACAAACTTAAATCTCTACTACCTGAGGATGCTTTCATATAAATATGACCAATCATGGCTTTGCTGTTCTTAAGAAGAAGATTTTTAAAGATATTTTCCTATGTATTTCTATATAAAAATTTGATCCCCCATTGTGGCCCCACCCAACCCCCGGGGGTCATGATTAGAAAAAACTTGAATCTACGCTAACTGAGCATGTTTCCACATAAGTTTCATCTTTCCTGGCCCAGTGGTTCTTGAGAAGAAGATTTTTAAATGATGCCATTATTTTTTCACTAATTCCTTATTATCTCCCCTTGAAAGAGGGCTTGACCCTCCATTTGAAAAAACTTGAATCCCCTTTACCCAAGAATGCTTCATGGCAAGTTTAGTTGAAATTGGCCCAGTGGTTCTGGAGAAGAAGTCAAAAATGTGAAAAGACGGACAGACAGACAGACGGACGATGCACAAAATGTGATCAGAAAAGCTCAATTGAGCTTTCAGCTCAGGTGAGCTAAAAATTATTTCAAGTCTTAACCAAAAATCAATTCTGACATCTGCTTTGTTTAATTTAGTCACAATTATTTACCTCTTGCAAATCTCCTTCTGTCAAGTGTGTATACTACTTACAATAATTTTCCTCCCTCATCTAATGACCATTTTATTGATCCCTCTCTGTACACCCTACGCTTACCCTAACTTAACATTGCACAGTTTATTCTTAGCAAATGGTGACAATGTAATTGTACATGTATACTTACTACATGTGTATGTGTACTACTTTAACAATGTTAAACAATTTCAATACATTGTAGATAACTTTCTTTGTAAAATTTGAATAAAATCTTACATCGTCTGTGTCTTTGACTCGTAATATCTGTTCTCGTAAATCCTGAAGATCGTTAAATGTGGACTGTGCCGTAATGGAATAAACAAGAAGAAATCCCTGTCCGTTCTTCATGTACAGATCCCTCATAGCCGTGAATTGTTCCTGATATAAAATAAATGACAATCAAGTCAGCTATATTTGTAAGAAGAATGGTAACATGATTTAACACATCGAATCCAGGCCCCAGGATCATGAAACAGACTTAGACTTAAATCAAATTTTCAATGGCCTGTAAAATGTTTATTGATTATTTAATTAATCTCTAAATTTAAAGGTAACGAGGCTTTTGTAAAGCAATATTAAAAAATATTTCAGTTTTGGTCTACTTTAATACTACAATATTTTAGTGCAACATAAAGATTTCGACTTAAGCTTAAGATCTTTCATGATCTCGGGGTCAGGGCTCTATTTCACTATATCCAGTCTAGTTTTCAATACAATGACTATCTTTTTCTTATGACATAATCTTAGCAAAAATATTTTCTTCTCTTCATATCAGAAACTTTATTACAATTTACAATGGGTTGTTTATTATATAACATACTATTTCATTCATGCATTGACTTCTGTAACATGTATAACCCCTCTTATTCACACTGGGTTGTTTATAATTGACATACACATTTTCTTCATGACTTAACACTGTAGACTTTACATCTCTGGACTCCACCTACAAATCATCACTTACCGTCCCTGCCATGTCCAGAATCTCTAACATACATCTACAAATCATCACTTACCGTCCCTGCCGTGTCCAGAATCTCTAATATATATCTACAAATCATCACTTACCATCCCTGCCATGTCCAGAATCTCTAACATACATCTACAAATCATCACTTACTGTCCCTGCTGTGTCCAGAATCTCTAACATACACTGTTGGCCATCCACCTCCACTTGCTAAAAAAAAAAAAAAAACAACACAAGGTATTTTTGAAAATTGGATAATTTTTTTTTATATCAAAATGAGACCAAAAACCCCTCGAATGGATTTCAATTAATTTTTTAAAAATATAATTATCTTTTCCTTGTACCCAAAAAGCAAAACTCTTCCTCTTTATACAAATCATTTCAATTTTTTTTAATTGATAGTTTTATTTTTTTATATCATGTATGTGTATATGTAAATGTCAAATAATTTTTTGGTGTATTTTTAGCTTTATTTCACAAAAACATAATGATCTGTTCTTTGTTTCAAGGGGGGCCACTTTTCTCTTGTCAAATGAATAATACATGCAGGACTCAACATTAAGGTTTATCCGATTGTCTGTGACCAGTTCATTTTGTGTTTGTCTGATTGTCTGTGACCAGTTCATTTTGTGTTTGTCCGATTGTCTGTGTCCAGTTCATTTTGTGTTTGTCAGATTGTCTGTGTCCAGTTCATTTTGTGTTTGTCCGATTGTCTGTGTCCAGTTCATTTTGTGTTGTCTGATTGTCTGTGACCAGTTCATTTTGTGTTTGGACAAACCAATCTCCAGAAACACTTGTTTGATTGGACAAGTTACATGTACCTAAAGTTTTTAAGCATCAGGGAACAGTGTGTGAATTTGAATAAAAAGAATCCCCACAGAATTTATAAATACGGTAATTATACCTGTGACTCTTTTTATCATCTCAAACTTCAAATACTAGAAATGCTAGATAGAATGTTCTATCATTAAAATGATGTTGTCCTTCGGACACAAATACTTACTGTTCATTCATAAACAACTAAATGCATGTGAATGGAACTTACCAAAGTAATGTCCCACATTCAAGTCATGAACTTAACAAAGTTTGGGTTTACAACTTTACTATGAATAAAAATAATATTGCAAGAAATGAAAGAAAGATTGTAACAGGAGTGTTGGAAATCCTAACGTATGACAAGTGTGATGGGGATAGAACATCTAGATCAGCATTAAGTCACGTCAGCACCATGTATTGTTAAAAAATAACTGGTTATAAAAATGTGCTGACTAAATATAATTCTTTTTTATACAAGAGAAGACTACAATGATTGCACAACAGAAAAGTAAATAATAGTTAAAATATTTTTTTGGTCCTGAGATTTGGAGAATTTACATTTGTTGGCAACTTGTCCGATGAACAAGTTGATGTTCATGATATTTAAGTTAATGTTGAGCTCTGACATGTAAAATCATGTGGTTCATTCTGTCTGACATACATATTGATATGTCGCATGTATTGATATACAAGTACTTACAGTATCTACGTCTTGTAAATTATATACTAATGTCATACTTACTAAAATACTTCCTTTTGTCTTGTTTAAATTTCTTTGTGTCCTAGTCACTTATTGAATTACTTTATATTCTATATATAAATCTGTTTTCTATGATTCAGTCACTTATTGAATTACTGTCTCCTTCTATAGTTTACTAATTTAATAATATGTCACTTACTTTTCTATAGCTGTCTTCAATAGTTGGATCATATTTTTCTACAAATATGTTTTGTACAAACTGCACAGTCTGAAAGGAGTACAAATTGTAATTATAACACCTTCAATTACCCCCAAAACATATCACGGTATACCATACTGGTCTACTGTTACACTAATATCTTATCATGCAGATTGCTCATATGAGTATCTATGTAAATTAAAAATAATTAATTTTATTATGTACAGTAAAATAATATATTTTTTTCAATATCAAAGGGCATACATTTTTACTTTGAAAACCTTCTGTGTTGAGTTAACAAAGCAGTTAATGCATGAATATAGTGAACATGATGAAGACTGAATCAATCTGAATTCATCAAATTTTGCATATATATATGTCACCGGGTTCACAGGTGCGTGAAAGTCAGTCAATATATCGGGTCTCAATAGCTCAGTGGTTAGAGTGCTGGCACAGTATGCCAGAGGCCCTGGGTTCGAGTCCCGGACTCTATTAAACAAAACTTTTAAAAAACTTTATCAGAATGTACAGCTCTTATTTATAATGGCAAATGTAAGCTTTTACTACACATTCAAGGGAAGAATTGCAATTAAGGGTGAGAAAAATCTGTTATGTTTTTAATAAGAGAAAGCTTTTACTAACATGATTAATATTTGAACTAATGTACATCTACTGATCTTATTCTGTCATTCATTTTTACAGATATCAGCTGATCAACATCACTTTGTGTGAGTACACATGTACTTACCAGGGCACTTTTACCGACGCCACCACTCCCAAGTACAACTAGTTTGTACTCCCTCATCTTTACCTGGGACCTATCAAAATAACAGGAAATAACTTAAACTTGGACCTATCAAAATAACAGAAAATATAACTTAAACTGGGACCAATTGAAATAACATGAAATAATTCTAACTGGGACATTAAATATCTGAAACTGGGAACTTATCAAAAACATTATAAAACTTCATGAACTTTATATGTTGAACTGGATCTTGACAATAACATGAAATAACTTAAAATTACTTAAAACTGTATGGTCTGATTAGGTAGCCCTGCCAGATTAGGATTAATGTGGACACCAGAGAGACGAGGAGAGTTTGAGACAATGAAGACCAAAGGAAACATGGAGAGGAACCGTAGAAAAAGACAGAAAACAATTATTGTGATTTAAATTGTGGATGATGCTGTCGTCAAAGCAAAATTTTAAGATAGATCAAATTGGAGAGGACTAATCTATGGCCCAGTTCTCCACAGGGAGACACAAAGTTTAGTCAAAGTATGGTCTGACGTTTTTGCTCTCAAAATTTTTTTAAAATATTCATCCTTATTATGCATTTACAGTGTAAAAAGTTTTACACTTTCCAGAAATTATACCTTCAAGTTTGCCTCTGTTCCACAGAAAAATAAATTGAACTGCATGTATAAACATGATAAAGGTCGAACATATAATGATTGTCATTCCACAATATTTACAAAGACTGCTGATGTGAGACAACCTAGTTTCTAGTTTCACATGATTGGAGGAAAATGTTACAAATGACACTGTATGACAAGCTCTGCCTTATTCTCCAAATGGCTAGGTGAAAATTAAAGTCACTGTCATAATTTCTCATAAATCAGAGAAATGACTCAAATCCTAGAGAGATCATAAACTATTATCACAAAGAACATTGTCTTCATCAGTACTATTAACGCATCCCACACAATGCTTTAACGGTTCAGTTAAAAAGTCAAATTGAGGAGTGGTTTTGGTCAGAAGGACTTTGAAAGCCACTTTAAAAAATAGTGATCAATTTACCGTAAAGAAAGCAAACTGAACTGCACGTCAACAACCACAGCACAGAAACATTCTCAATCTAGACTATCCTACATACCTGTTATCCATATTTATGTAAAAATGAACTCGGGTCAGTCGAGATTCAAAGGAAAATAAAACACATATACAGATCTACATGAAAACAATTAACCCATTCACGAGCATCTTTAAAATACAACATTCCTCGGAAATTACTCATCGTTTTAAAAACTCTGCTGGATTCCTGACTTACGCTTCACAAACAGGATGGGGATGTTAACCGTCAGAGGCGGAAGCGCTTCAAAATGGACGATCGGTTCCGCTTCACCGAGTCGATCAAAAATGTCTTAACCCTCCGATATCAAAGTACACTTTATACCAAATCTATTCTATGGGAAGGAATCTTTAAAATTCAACTCATCTTTACAAAGTCGGTCGGTCTAAAGCTTTTAATCTGCCTTTGGGGGAATGATGTACACATAAAAAGTCGCACCCACTTACATCTCAATTATAGCACGGTTCAACGTTAATAAGATGTCTTTAACTCCCTTCCGAATGAAGAGCCATAGATAAAAGTTACTAAAAATAAATAACATTAAATATGCATCACCGTACACCGTTACTTACCTCTGTAATATGAATAATTGTTTATTTCTGTGACGTCAATTTATAAATGTCGCCCTGATTCTAAATTTGGAATTATTCGATCCCACAATGCATTTCGATGGCATATAAAATGCTTAAAACCTTATCAGGAAGCATTCTTTTTCCGGACGCATCACTGTCTTAAAAATAATGTGATGAGTTTTATTTTCTCAATAATGTCTAAGAGCTAGAAATAGTTTGTTTACTTATACTACATATAACAATTTAATATATGAAGATGAGTAAAATATTTATTAGCAAGTTTTGGGGAAGTAATCTGCCAGGAATCGAATTTTATGTCTCACTCTGCGCACGCGCATATAGCCTTTCCGCATCTTCCTTTTCTCCATTTTCTCTCGATCTGACTTTTACACATTTACACATAAACATTCACTTACATACAAACATTCAAATACTTAAAGCGATACACCTTGATCTTATTTGATCGGCTTTCCGCCGAAATGATGATAAAGTGTGGCGTGAGTACGTCCATGATAGACCACACCAAAAGATGGAATGATGACGTGAACGGATATCAAAGAGGCTCCCCATGGGAGGTCAAATTGGCCCCTGGGTGCAGCCGTGGTGATATCATTTAATCTACTGATCCATCAAGCACAAAATTGTTTTTTTTTTTTAATTTTAAAGACGTTAGAAAGTGCGGCTATTATAAGATGGGACTCACAATGGGTTCTTTTGATTTTTTATCAAAGGAACGAGACAATGGAATATATAACGTTAAGGTTAAACAAAAGAAAATTAAAAATTTCATTGTAAGACTAGTAGCTGCGAAGTCAATATAACATATCCATTATTCAAGTACGCGAAAACTTACTTCGACACTGACGCCAAATAGAACTTTATAATGATGAAGTCCATCGAGCAGACTGTTGAGTGACCTATAATGTCAAAGAGTCTTAGACTATGTCTTCTATTAAATGTACTAAAGGAAAGAGTACTTTTAAGAAACAATTTAAGAGTTTTATCTTACAAAATGGCATTTTAGAACATGAAAGTGATATGTTTTAGCATTAACTTATATAACATATTTTATTATTGATCCTATATGTTGTCATACTTAAATTAAAACTAACGTGTAAGCAACACAGTGCTAAATTATAGTGCCAAAAATTGTTATAGTGCTTTAATGATGAAACATTGTATTTTTATCTTATTTAGGGTAGGACCCCATTGGAAATAGGCTCTCCAGTTTTAATGGGTTATCCTGGTATCAACTAGTCACTATCTAAAAATATGGTTTCCTGAATATTTATTTATAAATCTATTTAAAATTTATGGATTCCCAAATATTGTCTTTCAAATGATTATGTATATTAATGTGTATTTGTTTTATGTATGATGACATATGATACCAAATAAATGATGATGATGAATGTTCATAACGGGCCCGTAGGAACACAGATGCTTGAGGACAGGAACCCCCCCCCCCCCCCCCCCGATATAGACCTCCGTGCCTTTTCGACTTTTTTCTCTCATAAATTATCTTTCAATGACATATTTGTGATATAATCTTTACCAACAATTTGAAAAATTACCTTAAACAAACATTTTATAAAATCTACCCCACTCTCTATATATAAAATCAACAAGGTTGCCAACTTCGTCAAAGCTTATTCAACATACACTTTTATATAAAGTAACTGTATTCCCTTTAACTGAAATAGTACAATATTATTGTTGAAATGATCAATGTCATTTACAAATTGTTATACTATCCATTGGCATATCTTTCCTTTATTATTGTAATAATTTCATACTTGTCTGTTATGGGCTCTAAATTAGAAAATAAATGTTCTGTTCTGTTCTGTTCTATTCAACGGAAGTAATGAAGAGAGGACTATTACCCATTTCCTCCATATAACTATTAGTTATTAGTTATTAGTTTTGCTATCACCTAAATGATTCTGAATGAGTGTCTTGAATACTTAGGGTACAGGTGTGTCAGTAAGATTGACTATGCAGAGGCATCGTCCCCTGGTGCCCTCTGTATTCAAGCCACACTATATACATGTATTAGCATACTGCTATTATTGTCAATTTCTTTATCTTCCTTCAGTTTTCTTCCTACTCAATATTTTTGATCCAGTTTCAGACTATTGTGATTATGTTGCAAATCCTGCATTTTCATGAGTATCCTATACTCGTGGTATTGTACATCTTTCATTTGTACCCTCATGATCGATATGATTTATATTCTTTCATATTACAATATACTTTAATATTATTTATATGTAATCATTCTGAAATAATTGTATATGCCCCCTGAGGGCCCTTGATTGGTGAATAAACATATTCTATAACCAAATATGAGTGCAAGGTATAAACACTGGACACATTCTTGTTTTAATCAGGGGAATATTTTTTCTAACATTTTCTAGATTTTTCGCGAAATATCTAGAGAAAAGAAGGTATTTACATTATTGCACTTTTAAAAGGGGCATAACTCTCAAAACGAAACCTGCAGATCAGGTAGTTGAAAAATAATTAGGAACATTTCATTTACATTAGTGGTTTAGAACTCTATGCTTCCAATACATTTGAAATATATATATTTTTAAAGCGTATCTCAACCAAATTTCTTCAAATGATTATTTCAAAACAGTGTTTCAGACTTTCTGCAGAACTGCGTATTTGGGTAGAAAGTCGTATCCTCATCACTTCCGTTGAATAAGCTTTGATCAGTTTAAAAACACTAACGTCCTCGTGGAAAATTGGCCGAAACGACTGTTGAAGTGCCTAAACTTTTATGAGAGTTGGTGGTTAATGAAAAGAATATTTAACCTACGACACGAGTTGTTGATTTTAGGGCTAAGTGTAGATTTATGAGGCAGATCATCAAAAATTCCTTGGCAGTGCCTCTCGGTTTGCAGACGAAGTTGGCAACCTTGTTAATTTTTTAATACATAGGGTAGGGTAGTAATTTTTATAAAATGTTTGTTTAAGTCAATTTTCCGAATTGATGATATAGAGATTATATCATAAATGTGTCAGCCATTTATAATTTATGAGAAAAAAGTCGAACAGGCCCGGGGGTCTATATTGGGGGTTGGGGTTGGGGGGGTTCTGTCCTCAAGCACCTGTGCGTAGGAAGCAATTTCAGTTGTTTTTTTTTTTTAGGGGGGGGGGGGGGCACAGCCATACATTTTTTCAGTCGACAGTTGAGGGGGCACTACCAAAAATTTCCTGGCAAGCCAAAAAAGGGTCATCAACTATCAAAAATTCCTTGACAAGCAAAAAACAAGAGGCCCAGGGGCCACTTCGCTCACCTGAGCACTGTGGCGAGGAAAAATCAGTTTAGTATTGAAAAGCTTAAATGCATAAGTGGTCCCAACCTACCCCTAAAAGGGAGTGAGGGTATGGTTTGAACAAAATTAAATCTACACTAACTAAGGATGCTTACATAATTTTTTGACTAACTGTGACTTTTTTCTCTACAAGTTTAAACTTTCATTGTGGCCCCACCCTACCCCTGGAGGTCATGATTTGAACAAACTTGAATCTACACTATCTGAGGATGCTTCTATATAAATATGACAAACAGTGGCTTTGCTGTTCTTGAGAAGTTTTTTTAAAGATTTTTCCTATATATTCCTATGTAAAACTTTGATCGTCCATCGTGGCCCCACCCTACCCCTGGGGGTCATTATTTGAACAAACTTGAATCTACATCATCTGAGGATGCTTCCACATGAATATGACCAATCATTAGCTTTGCTGTTCTTGAGAAGATTTTTGAAGATTTTTCCTATATATTCCTATGTAAAACTTTGATCGTCCATCGTGGCCCCACCCTGTCCCCGGGGGTCATGATTTGAACAAACTTGAATCTACACTACCTGACAATAATTCCACATGAGTTTCATCTTTCCTGGCCCATTGATTCTTGAGAAGAAGATTTTTCAATAATGCCATTAATTTTTTGCTATTTCGTAACTATCTCCCCTTGGAAGAGGGCGTGGCCCTTCATTTGAACAAACTTGAATCCCCTTCACCCAAGAATACTTTGTGCCAAGTTTGATTGAAACTGGCCCAGTAGTTCTGGAGAAGAAGATGAAAATGTGAAAAGTTTACGACAACAACGACGCCGACAGACAACGGACAAATTTCGATTAGAAAAGCTCACTTGAGCCTTCGGCTCAGGTGAGCTATAAAGGGCATCAGACATTTTTATTGAGAGGACACAAGCATATAGTATCTATATTTACTATAGTAATCTATATATCGGCAAAATAATTCCCCCTCCCCCCCCCCCCGTTCCTACGTGCATGCATAAGTAACTGATCACTGTTCGTTAGTTTCAGCTCTTTTTAATACATTTCCAACTCGAACTATATACTCTTTAATTGCTTGTGCTTGTAATTCCAAACAGTATGTTGCAGAAGATCCAAACAGTGGAACAAAATGTTGAAATCTCCAATTAGTTTGACTGCTCTTCGGGCAGAAACAATATCGGTAACTCTTAAAACTTTTGTCTCAAAAATGAAGCTTGAAATTGTATTTTTCCGAGCAAAAATTTTCACTCCATGCATATTAATAAAGTAAGTATGTATTTACTCGTCGCATGCCGAATATCACGCAAATAAAATACCACAATATTAAAGTGAATTGATTGTATGTATAAAATATTGGCATTACAAGCCCGTAGCAACGGTCTTAAAAGTAGGGAACCCCCCCCCCCCCTGAAAAAAAATCTGACAAAAAAAGTCACCAAAAAGTGGAAGGGAGACCAACTTCCCAGAATAATTTGACAACCGAAAGAAAACTTATTAACTTCCAAATCCTGGAATATGCCAGCACTCTACCTTAAAGCAACAAAAAGTGGTTGAGCCAACCGGCATCTTAAGCAAAATTTACTATAGCAAAATACTTTACTCAAAAAAGTGCGTTTGTTTGGTTAAGTCTGACTTTGAAGCAGTGACTTATTAGGATAAATAAAAATCAACCACTGGAGTTATTTCAACTTGAGACATATACATATGTCTATGATTCAAGGTTCAAGTCAAAATATGCAATACTTTAGAATCTGAAATCACTAGTTCGGTGTAGTAATTAAGTTAATTGATGAAAGTGCATCTTGGTGAACCAACACCAAGCTCCACTGAA